GGGTAAGGTAAGGGTCTGTTTTTGCATGCAAGTGTCCTTTCTCCCATTGCCATAGGTTGGGTCGTGGTCCTCCCAGCATGCTGGCGCTGGCTGCAGATTCTGCCGTCCGCCCTCTGCCTCGACTTGTGCGGTGTACCTGCTCTGCTGCCGCAGCCTCCCAAGGCTTGGAGTTGGTGTGCTCTTCCTTTCAGAATATGGTGAACCGCTCTCCTTTCTTGACCTTCCCTTAGGAAGGTAAAATTGGCTTGTCGATTTCCACAGAAATGAAAGCAAGTAAACCAGTGGGGTTGTGTTGGTTGGTGCTGCAGCTGTGTCCAGGGAGGTGGCCACCTCGGATGTGCTGAGCCGCAGCAGGGGCAGACTGTGCCCTGTGTGTGCTCCCAAGCTGAGAATGGCTTGTTCGCGTTTAAGTGGTTGAGAAAAAATAAGAGAATACTCATGACATGTGCAGATCACGTGAAGTTCACATTCCAGTGCCCATAAATGAGGTKTCATTGGAGCACGGCCATGCTCATGGCCGCACGAGAGCCTGTGGCTCTCCTGAGCCATAGCTGGCAGCTCGGCCCACAAAGCTTCAGCTCTGGTCAGCAGCCAGTGGGGCTCCCCTGCCTGCAGCCAGTTTTCCAGGGGACACCAGGTGGGGCTCCTGCAGTTAAACCAGGTTCTGGCACCGTTTACCTGGAGACCCGCAGGTCGAGGGCTGGGCCCTACCAGGTGGCTTGTGACCTGTAGCCCTGGTGCGGCTCCCAGAGCTGGGGACTCTCGCTGTTGGGCGGGTTACTGTGAAGTCATCACCCGCTTTCAGAAGAGGCTATAGGAAGGGTGCAGGTCCCCTGCCTCGGGCACGCCACCCTCCTGACACCTCCTGATTCAGTGACAGGAGTTTCCCCAACCCAGACCCTTGGGTCTCTCCGGAGGCTCTAGCGTGCAGGCAGGATCCAGTGCGCTGGCCATGGGTGGCCCCTCAGCCTTCAGCCCCTCTCCCCTCCCTGGGGCTGGGGGCAGGTGGGTGGAGTCCTGACCCTGAGATCTGACCCCGCCAAGGCCCCAGGCACACCTCCCTGGCGCACTGTGCCAGCCTCCCATCACTAGCAGATACCTGGCAGATCACATAGACAAAGGTCTGTTGTGGCTTCTGCTTCCAGTCTCAGCCCATGGCTGCTGGACCTGGTTGCCTTTGGTCTTGAGGTGACACAGTTTCTCAAGAGCAGGTGGTAGAGCAGAACCCACTCGCCTCGGGGTGACTGGGAGTGGTGGTGAGGAAGAGACCGGGTCCCACCCTCCTCTTGGCAGGCCTGCCCCACTGGCCCACCTCCCGGAGGTCCCACCACCTCCCAGCCCCAAGCTGCAGTGCACTTGGGAGGTTGCGAAGGCTCGAGGAGCTGAGTGCCACAAGCTGGGGACAGGGATAATGCTGGGCTGGAGCCCAGGGCCCTGTGGGCACCAGGCAAGCTCCACCACTGAGTCATGTCCCCAGCCCCCTTTTTCATTTTTATTTTGAGACGGGGTCCTGCTGAGCTTCCCAGGCAGAGCTTGAGTTGGTGATCCTTCCTCAGCCTCCCGAGTGCCACCGTGGCTGGCTGTTGCCCAGTCTGTCATAGCACCACCACGGCATCACTGTGCCCAGCTGCTCAAGGGCATGCCGGCCCAGCTGTGGCTCAGCATGTCCAGTGCACCTGGGTTGTATGCTGACACCTAGCTGCGGTGGCGAGAAGGCTGGGTGCAGAACCCTGGTTGTAGGCTGCAGTGGCCTGTGTGTCGTTGGTTGTCCCTCTGATGGCAGAGCCTCCCGTCACCTGAGGACGCGGTTGCTGTGCGGAGGATACGGTATCTTGACAGTACAGTCCCAACTAGAAAAAGGAGAAGGCTTAAGGCAGAGCATTGAAGCTTCAGAAGAAGAAAATGAAGGTGTAATGGAGTCCAGGGTGCTCGTTTGCTGGCAGAGCAGTTGCTGAAGGGGCTGTGCGGAAGAGCTGGCTTCTGTACGTCTGGGCCAGTACCTGGTTGCTCTGAGCATGCATCGCCAGGAGCGGCTGCCCCAGGAGGGGTGGCGCGGGCTACTAATGGGGCCACAGGCCCTGCTGGTGCTGCCTGCCTGTTGATTGAAGGGTCCACGTGCGATCGGGAGCTTCTGGAATGGTCCACATGTCTGTGCTCACTCAGCCGGCCTCGGTGGACCTGCTTGGGTGACGGGTGACAGGTGATGGTACTGGAACTTGCTGAACAGAAGGGCCGGTTGCATGCCTGCAAAGTGTGGGGTGCCTGTGGCCTGCGGTTTTTGCCTGTCAGCGGGCACTTTATGGAACACTGAGTCTGGCGTGTCAGTGCTGTGGACTTCTGTCAGGTAAGAGCTGGGTGTCCTGCTGTGTCTGCCCTTCCGTGCGGTGGCACCTGGTGTCTCATGCTCCAGTGTGGATGGCTTCCAGAGGCGGGTGTTTGGCACCACTATTGTCAGAGCCCAGTAGCTTTGGGAATCGGTGTTTGCTGGGCGCTCGGCAGTGTCCTTTGTGAGCTTGTCCTGAAGGGTGTGGGACTTGGCTAAACCCACGCCATGGTCCAGTCTTCCGGCAGTGTTGGGTGTTGGGATCACAGACTGCCTCACCAGGTCCCCATTCCCACAGAGTCAGGCCGGGCACTGTGTCCACCTGTGACCCCAAGACTCAGGAGGTGGAGGCGGGGGAGCCTGGGCCACCTAGCAAGACCCTGTCTCAAGGCTGGGCAGCAGCCAGTGGTGGGGCGCTGTGCAGCACAGAGGGAGCGCGGCAGCTCTGGGCCAGTCTGGGCCAGCGTGCCTGGTTGCTCTGGTCTGCTGAGTGCTGCCCTCGGCCTTTGCAGTCTCTTGAGTATTGATCAGCCACTTGGAAGCAGGGCTGGTGTCTCCCTGGACCCTCGTGCCTGTGGCTTGCAGCTCCTTGTGTGGGTTCAGCGGCTGCTCTGCAGGCCCCTGTCCCTGCACAGGACGCAGCTCCCTTCTGACTCATCTTCCCCTGGTGTGCATGGCGTGGGCTGTGGGGTTCTCAGAAGCACCTGGGGATCCTGGTTTGCTGCAAGTCCGTGGCTCGTGGTGGGGTGTTTCAGGTGTCCTCCTGCCTCTGCCGAGGGGCTTTCGCTGTGCCCTGGGTGCCTGCTGGCATGCCCAGGCGATGGCAGGAGTGGCTGGAGTGCCCATTGGATGTGGTCTGCAGCCCTTGCCTTCTGTCTTAGAGCTAGCCAAGCCCTGCTGGTCCTTGCGACCACTCTGAGGCCCTTTGTCCTGTGCCCAGCCTCCTGCCTTCCTATCCTCTCCACTGCTAAAGCACAGTGTCTGCCCCCAGTACTGCTCACTCTTATCAGGTGTCCACAGTTCTGCTCTGGCAAAGTGTGTGATCGCGTCACCACAGTCCCGCCCCATGACGTCACTCCTGTTGAGGTGGGGACCACCTCCGCTCTCTACCTGGTGCCCCGTGCGTCACATCCTTTCTGAGTGGCCTTCCGTGGTGGCCGTCCTGTGTGGGCACTGCCCACCAAGCAGACATGGCCTGCTGCCCACCCTCTCCACCGAGTGACTCCCCTCTCCGTCAGTGTTCAACCATAGTAACAGTCTTCGGTTCTGAGTTTTATAGTTTGTTCCTTTTTGTCCTTGTACTGAGGATTGAACCCAAGGTGGTCTACCACCCAGCTATGCCCCAGCCCCCTTTTTAARAAAAATATTTTCTTATTTGGGGCAGGGTCTCCTTAAATTGCTGAGTCTGGCCTCAAACTTGCAGTCCTCCTTTCTCCCCAGCCCCCAAGTGGTAGGATTATAGGCCTGAACTGTCCTGCCCAGTTTATGATCTGTTCTGTATCTGATTTACAAGAATAGAAGATTATTGCTTTGAGACCCTTTTTAAAAAATCCACTTGTCAAAATGTAACCTACGGGTGATGACATCAGCTGAGTGCATGATTAGGTGAACTTGGTTACCTTTGTGGGTGGACCAGCAGGGCGCAGTCTAAGTGCAGACCCTTCCCGCCCCAGGCCCCTCTCTGCAGCCCTGCATCTGGCTGCTGCTCACCGTGGCGCTGTGCCCTGAGCACCAGCCACATCTGGCTCTGAGGAGTGGTGGGGGCAGCACCTGGTGTGCAGGGGTGTGTGCCCACTCGTGGCCTCCAGTAGGTGCCAACGTGCAGTTCCCAGCCAGTGGCTGAAGTGGCCGGGCTCATCTGTGCTGGTCCTCCATGGCTGCTGCTTCCCATTCATGGGCATTTGGGCTGATTGCAGCTGAGATGTCCTCTTGGTCAGCCCTGTGTGGGGGGGCGCATGGGATGGCAGCACTCAGCTGGGCTGCTCCAGGACCTGGGGCCTGGCGGTGGCAGAGAGGCCTCCTCTTCCCTGGCCCTCCCCTCCTCTTCCCTGACCTCTGGCCCCCAGAACACATTGGCACTCTGTGGAGTCAGTGAGAGGCCTGACTTCAGGGGTCCCAGGCTGCTGGCACCTTCAGTGTCACAGTCCTGGACGCTGAGCTTGGGTGAGGCTGATGCCATGGTTTAGGGGTGACTGCCCCATTTCTGTGCCTGCCACAGCCTGGGAGGCCCTGGCACACATTCTGTGTGGTTTTGGGGGGAGCTGGCAAGGCCGGAGCACCCCTGTGCTGAGATGGACACACCCATCTGGACGGGGTCTTGGCAGCACCAGAGCTAGGCCGTGCAGGGAAGCTGGTGCCCACAGCCTCTCCCAGGAGGCCTGAACGCTAAGCATTGGCACCAGCACGCTGGGTAGACACTGCTGGCTGAGTTCTGGTCCTGCACCACCTGTTGGGCAGGTGGTGTCGGTCGCCTCCTGGGCGGCCTGGCGGTGCGCCCTCTGCTCCCTGTGTGCTCGCCCTGAGGTAGCAGGGCAGGGCTCCTGTGCCAGGTGGGCTGCATGAGGCCTGGGCACCTGGGCAGGAGATTCTGAGTGTGGTGGGAGGCTAGGCAGGCCACAGGTGCGTGGGACAGGGTTCTGGGGTCGGCCACAGGTGACACTCGCTCCATCTCTTGCAGACTACGTCTACTTCGAGAACTCCTCCAGCAACCCATATCTGATCCGCAGGATCGAGGAGCTCAACAAGGTAGTGCCGGGCTGCTGGGCGGGGCGGGCCTGCAGGGCTGCTGCCCTCCACTTGCGTCTACCAGCTCCAGTCCAAGTGGCCTGCCCTGGGCTTCAGGGTTGACCTTTGGGTGACCTAGTCACATCATCTGCCTAGAACTGGGTCCCTCTCTGGGAGAGGCCCAGGTGAGTCCCTGGTGGTTTCTTTGGGATTATGACTAGGCATCTGTGAGAACATGCCTGGTGTGGCCTTGCGCCACCCCCAAACTGCTGCTGACGAGCTGGACAAGAGGCACTTGTCTGCACGTTCTCAGCAGGCCCAGGCTCACCTGGCCACAGAGCGTGGTGGGGAGGCGGATGTTGGCCACACCGTCCTGCTCTCTGCAGTGGAGGGGAGCTGGTGGCCACATACACCCAGCAGGTGCCATGACAAGCTGGGGGCCTGTCAGGAGGGGTATTTCACCTTTCAGCAGGATGTGGGGACGGCAGGTGTGGGGTTGGGGCAGCTGCTTGCCAGCCAGGGCCATCGGAAACCCACTTCCTGGGTCTGTGGCATTAGCAGCGGGCCAGCGTGGCACACCTAGGTGTGCCTGCCTGGTCCTCAGCCTGTGCTTGGCATCGCTGGTCCCAGCACTAGCCTGTGAGGGGCACTGCTGCCCTTCCCCTGGACACCATGTCAGTACAGCTGGGTGACTTGCCTGATGGCCCTGGCTGTCAGCCATAGCCACTGTGCTCAGTGTCACAGGCAGAGCAGCAGCAGAGCAGTGCCGCCAGCCAGCCATGAGAGGTTTCAGGATTCCAGGGGCTGGCAGTTGGTAGAGCCCTGCCTTGGACTGGAGCAGCAGATGCCATGGGACCCACACTCAGGGGACGAGAAAGCACCGAAGAGCTTCTCCCCGGGCTGCCAGAGCACGCCATGGGCACCCGCAGTGCCAGCAGCACCATGGTGCCCGGCCTATCCCTCTGCAGCCTGGGTGCCTGGCTTTCCAGCCTGTACAGGGGGTGGGGAGTCTGGGAAGGACGTGTGCAGGAGGAAGACCAGTTGATGTGGGGGTGGAAAGCCCACCGGGTCCTTGGAGGACAGCAGAGGCCAGGTGAGCTAGTGAAGCGTGTGCAGGGGAAGTTGGGCAAGGGTGACCCTCACACTCATGGTGGAAGGACAAGGAACATCAGAACACGGGCACTGGTCCAGCGGCACAGCATTCACGGGACGGGAATCACAGAAAATGCAAGCCTTGCCAGGCAGGGAAGCGGGTCCTAGGCAGCAAGGAGGCGCCCTGGGCCTGAAATGGCCCTCCTCCAGGCCAGCCGGGCCTTCCCTCAGCAGCTCAGGAGGCTGAGGCAGGAGGGTGGCAAGTTTAAGGCCAGCCTCAGCAGCTTAGCAAGACCCCGTCTCAAAAAAACAAAAAGAACTTCACAAAGGCGCTGGGGGTGAGCTCAGAGGGAGTGCATTTACTTGCTGCAAGAAAAATAAATAAATAAAAGGAAGGAAGGAATCCAGAGCAGGGGTGATAAGGTGCTTTCAGAGGAAGGCAGGTGGTATTTAGGGGCACATGGTGGGGCTTTGTCTCCCTCCAGGCTGTTCTGCAGGCTGGTGGGCCAAGGCCTGGTGAGCYCCGTAGACCCTGCGCCCAGCTGCACAGTGGCCCCGTGGGGCTGGATGGAGGCTGGGGAGACTGTGCGCTAGCAGACCAGGCAGCTGACCTGACCTAGGGWAGGAGTAGAGGGTTCCCCAGCCAGGGTCCCCAGGAGAGGACTGGATSTGTACGTGCTCAGTGGTCTCTGACGTGCACGTATGGTCCGTGGCAGTCACACAGCACGGGCAGGTGGAAAGACGCTGCCATTGTGCACTTGGCACTGGCCCAGGTGGGGAGTAAGGGGCTCGGCAGTTCTGTGTGGTTGTACGCGATCAGAGCACAGACACCAAAAGTGATTCAACCAAAGTTACAGTATTGTGGAGGCAGGTTAGAGGGGGCTGGGTGGGGACGGGGAGGCCTGGTCTGTAGTGATGGTTGGTGGACTTGGGAGGCAGTGTCCAAGGGAGCATAACGGGGGCTGCCCTGGGGTAAGAGGCTGCTATTGTGTCATGCAAGTCTCATGGCATGCACTGAGATTGCAGACCCTGTGTGTTGCTTTAGTAAACTCTGAAGTTGCAGATAAATACTCTTCATTCTAACATGGTGGGACCTGTCTCGGGGATTTGGGAGTCCACTGCGTGAGCTCCCAGTGGTCACAGCCTGACAGCTTAACTGCCAGGATAGAGTAGTGGTGGATTATAGCTATGCCAGCTTTTCATTGCTGTGACAAAATACCCGAGATAATTGGCTTAAAAGGAGAAAAAGTTTATTTTTTTACTTCTTTTTTTAGTTATAGGTGGACAATATCTATTTTGTTTATTCATTTTTATGTGGTGCTGAGGATGGAACCCAGTGTCTCACATGTGCGAGGCAAGCGCTCTGCCACTGTGCCACAACCCCAGCCCCAGAAAAGGTTTACTTTGGTTCATGTTTGAAACCAGGTTTCCATCCATGGTTGCTTGGGCTGTTGCTTTTGGCCTGTGGCAGGAGTGGAGGAGGGCTGTGGCCCAGTACCCGCTTGGAGGCCTGGCCCAGTAACCTCGCTCTATTCTGCTAGGCCCTGCCTCCCTCAGCTGGGGAGTAAGCCTGCAGTGTGTGAGCTCTTAGGGGCTATGACCGAACCAGCTCCAGGGGTGGCAGGTGTCTGTGGTCCACACTGACGAACTTGAAGGACTGACAGATCAGTAAGTGGACCGTTGGATCAGTAAGGGGAGGCAGGTGTCTGTGGTCCACACTGACGTACGCGAAGGACTGACAGATCAGTAAGTGGAGGCAGGTAAGAGGACTGCAGGAGCCCGTGCAGGCTCTCCACCCCAGGGTGGATCTCACCCACGCCAGGTGGGGCTGTGCTGACACTTGGTGCCTGGTCACGCTGGCTGGTTCCACCGTGGTTGGTCCGTAGCCTGCACCCCCCTGGGCGAGACACCTCTGGTGAGCTCCCAGTAGTTCAGGGATGGTTCCCTGGGCAGCGCCATGTCCAGTGAGTGAACACTGCATCCAGGTCCCACTGGGGTGGAGGCCATTTCTCACGTGGGTCCAAGTCTCCTGCCATCTGCCCTTCTGGTGGACCCSGTAGAGTGCAGGCCAGAGGGAGGCGGTGACTGGCCTGCACCAGAGGCAGAGCTGGGTTTGGCTGGGCTCCGGCCAGACCGTCCTTTGCACTTCCAGGGGAAGCAGGCAGGGCCTGGGTGGGGGCTCTCCGCAGGCTCAGCCCTCTACCTCGAGGCTGCCTCCCGGGTCATGGGAGTGGTGGGAGGGGCTGGCTCCTAGGCTGGGAGAGGTCCTGCCCTTCCAGGGCCTTCTGCTCCTGGTTCTCCCGCAGCACACTGAGGGTGAGGAGAGGGTCAGGGTGTGGGCTTGGGGCCTGGTGCACCCCTGCCTAGGTCCCCTCGCTATGATGGCCTTGGAGGAGTCAGAGGGATGCCTTCCTCCTGCTCACTGCTTGGGGCATTGGGGACGTGTCCCCTTCCTGGAGTCCTGAGGGATGGCACTCAGGTGGGGCTGGACTAGGCTCCCTCGGGGTCCCTCCTTGTGCTGAGGGGCTCAGCTGCTTGCCTTGCTGTTGCAGACGGCCAACGGGAACGTGGAGGCCAAGGTGGTGTGCTTCTACCGGAGGCGCGACATCTCCAGCACCCTCATTGCCCTGGCGGACAAGCATGCAAGTGAGTCGGCCTGTGCCCGGGAGGGCGGGGGCTCCAGGCACCTGCCCCCGGGTCTGCCTTGGGGTCTTGGCCTCGCTATGGCCACCCTCTGCCACCTGCTCTGCCCTCTGCTCTCAGTCTGGGTGCCCATGGGTACCTCTGCAGGGTCCCAGGCAAATGCACAGGCCCTGGTGGGGTGCTGGTGTGGACACCCCATGGGCCAGGTGCGGGTCCAGGTGGGACTGCTCTGCAGCACCTGTTTGCACTTTGCTGAAGGTTTCTGTGGGGGTTGGAAGTGGCGTCTTTAGGAAAAAAATCCCTCCCTCCTGAAGTCTGAGCACAGCTCAGAGGGACTTTCTTTTCCAGTGCCTGGAAGAGGCCCTTGTCATCCCCGGGGCCTGGCCTCTCACCCTGAAGTATTGTCGCGCACGGGGCTGAGATCTGGGTGTTGTAACCTTGGGGCAAGGCTGCCTGAGCCTTGGGTGGCTGCTGGGTGCTGGACACTTGACACCGAGCTCTCTGTGCGTCTGYGGGCAGAGGAGGGTAACCTGGCCCTGGGTCCATGTACCATGGCCACAGGCAGTCCTTTCTGTGCAGGTCTTGGGTGCAGGTAGATATGGGGACAGCTTATGGCTGCCATGTGTCTGGGCATCTGGGGTGGGATCTGCCTGGGGGCCATGAGACTGGTCAGTGCAGGGGTGTCCTCCAGTGATGAGGACCATGGCGGTTCCAGTTGCTGGGTGCTGTCCACCCAGGCTAAGTGCGAGGTCATCAGGTGTGATCTCCAAGTCTCTTGTTGCTAGTGGGGAGAGACCCCACCTGTAGCCCCCCGTGACAGGTTCCAGTGCACATCTGGAGGGAGGTCAAACATTCCATGAGCCCAGCCCTGTGGTGCCAGGCAGTGGGAGGCCTCGCTGACCATCCTCTGCAGGACCTTGGAGAGGCAGGATGTGTAGGCTGGTGGCCTCCTCTCCCCCTCTGGGCCTCCCTACCTCTGAGAGGGGCTGGAGCCAGGGCCAACGAGGTGGGTGGTCCTGGGGACACCCCAGTGCTTATCCAGAGTCTTGGTTGGAAGATGCTTCAGAAAGAAGAGGTCACTCAGGGTACACCTGCCCTGTCCAGAAGGCCCTGTGTCAGTGCCCTGTTGGTCACAGACTAGCAATCACCTGTGGGGACTTCTGGCAAGGACCTTGCTGCTGGGTCAGGGGCCCAGGGGGGCAGGTGTTCCTGTGGAGGACAGCCAGAGGTTGTGGGGAACTAGGAGGGGACTCTGGAGATGAGGGCAGGGCTGGGGGGCATCCTGTGGGAGGGTCTCCTGAGCTCTGGGATGCAGGCAGCCAAGGTGCCCACCAAGCCCTGCTGTCCAGCTTCCTGTAAACCCAAGAGCTGGGCCTGGGGGGGGCAGGGGTCAAGGGCCGTAAGTCTGTGGCTGGCTCCTGATGACTGCTCGGGGCCACGTCCCCTGTGCTTGCGTTCACCCTGAGTGCCCTGTGGCCGTGGCCCTGCAGTAGGAAACCCCCCTGATAGGAAGGCCAAGGCCTGAGCCCCACAGTTGAGCCTGGGCTCCTGAGCCCTGTGGGGGAAGCCTCCCACCCGGGTGGCCTCAGGCAGGAGGCTGGTGGGGCACAGCAGCCCTTTCCCAGGCCTTCCTGGGGGGGCTCGTCACCTGAATTGCCCAGAGCCCTCCAAATTGAGGCCAGGGCTTGGGAGCAAGATTGGATGGGACAGGAAGGCAGCGCGTGCCTCCAGTGGCTAGTGAGTGGTGTCCCCATCTGGAAAAGGACTTGGGGAAAGAACAGGGACTGCCACCTGCCCCAGGATTCACCCACGAGGGGTGTCCTGGGGGAGGTGGAGGCCCGAGGTGTACATGGGCTGCAACGGGGTCTTGCCCTGGAGCCTTGCTCTGCTTGGGAGCCTGGAAGGGTGGGGACATCTTGGAGCTTCTAAGAGCTTCTGTGGAGCTGGTGGACAGGCTGTCTAAGGTCCTGAATGAAGCCAGTGTTACCCGTGGGCCCAGATGCCGGCTGGGTCCTGACCCGCCTGTCCCTAGCACGAGGCTGGCGTGAGCAGACGCTGCCTTCCACGTGGAGCTGAGGGGTGTGCATCAGGACGCTGCTGCTGTTCTGAACTCAGGGCTGCAGGCTGCTGGGGCAGGCACTGCTGTGCACAGCGCCCCTGCTCCACGGGCAGGAAGGCGGGCAGCTTGGAGGGACGGACACTCCAGGTCCGTGTGGAACAGATCCCACTCCCCACACCCTGCCTCTTAGCTGTGAGGGGCTGGGGGCTTGGGGCCCAGAGATGCCATGACTTCCTGCAATGACCACAGGGGGGCAGAAGAGAGCGACAGGCCGGGGCCGGCAAGTGGAGCTGGGCCCTAGGTGACAGTGGCTTGTAGTGTCCCCAGATGGATAGCACTGGGCAAGTGTGGGCCACTGGGGAGCACCATTCCACATCCCCCAATTTTGGGGAACGTGACRGGCTAGAAAGTATTTTGTCTTGTTGCCTTTTTATGGAGTCTTGCTAAGTTGCCCAGGCCCGCCTCAAGCTGAAGACCCTCCTGCCTCAGCCTCCTAGTAGCTGGGCCTACAGGCGTGCCCACCACGCCAGGCTCTCAGTCGTTTTCTGGTACAGATCAGGGGCAGCTGCCAAGCTGCCTGAGATGCTGGCCGAGGTCTCCGCACAGCCTCAGAGAGGGACTCACTGTCTCTCCTGTCCTGCTGGGCAGGGGCTGGTCCTAAGTGAGGCGTGATCTGGCGAGGGTGGGCAGGAGCCGCGTGCAGGGAGGTCTTTGGCAGTGATCGTGGTGGCACGGGACCAGAGTGTGGGGGCAACCTGAGCTCTGGGGCGACAGGAGGCTGAGGCTGGCGGGGTGGGATGTAGAGCCTGAGGGGTCTTTAGTCGGGTGGTCTTTGCCCTCCCACCGGGAGGCCTGTGGCCCCCGTGTCTCCTCGGTCCGGGCCCTGGGCAGGGAACAAGCGGCCGGCACTGGCGCCCAGCTGCCGACCGGGTGCTGTCTGTCTGTTATGTAGCCCTGTCAGTCTGCTATAAGGCCGGACCCGGGGCGGACACCGGCGAGGAAGGTAAGAGCCCGCCTCTGCAAGGAGGCGTCCTCCTGTCTGTGCCGGGCGGGCGGGGGTGCGCTGGGGGACGGACGTTCCCCGCCGGCCGGCTGAGGAGGGCTTCCCCCCGTCAGGCCTGCCGCCCAACCTGGCTGTGGCCTGGCCCCAAGGGGAGTCCTGCTGGTGCAGGGAGGTCTGCAGAGGCTGTGCAGGGCCATCTGGCCTTGGGGACTAGAGGCCGGGGTCCAGGGCTGAGGTCTCTGCCCCTGGCCGCCTTGCCCTTGATGTGTTGTGGCCACCCCTTTCTCTTCCTTCCTCTCTCGGGCCTGCTGCTTTCCAGGTTGACACTGGACACCATGTCCTCTTCTTCTTCATAATGCCCAGAGGACTGGCCTGTTGGGGCGCCAGAGCACCCATGGGGCTTTGTCCAGGGCTCCTGGGCTGCTTCGGGGGGGCAGGGGGAGTGGTAGTCAGGGAGGTGGCCTTCCTTGGCACCTGCACGTGGGGTCCGACCTGGGGCCGGCAGCCAGGTGTTGGCACAGCCCCCTGATGGGGACTCTTTGTCCTTCAGGGGAAGTGGAGGAGGAGGTGGAGAACCCGGAGATGGTGGACCTGCCCGAGAAGCTGAAGCACCAGCTGCGGCACCGGGAGCTGTTCCTCTCCCGGCAGCTGGAGTCTCTGCCCGCCACCCACATCAGGTAGCTCCCGTGGCCCCTGCCCGGGGCCCCGCTGCCGGCCTCTCCTCCACCTGCTTGTCCTTCTCTTCCAGGGGCAAGTGCAGTGTCACCCTGCTCAACGAGACTGAGTCKCTCAAGTCCTACCTGGAGCGCGAGGTGAGGCCCAGCCCGCCGTCCGCTTGGCTACTCTGTGAAACGGCCCCTGTCCCCACCCTCAGCCTGGCAGGAACTTCGTCCTCCCCTGGCCTGGCCTTTCCTTACCCCAGTGTCCTGGAGCCAGTGTTGATGGTCACTTCTGGTGTCCCGTGGCTGCAGCCCCCAGGCTCCCTCCCTTCTAGGTGCCCCCTGCCTGACCACCATAGAGCAGGCATGCCCTCCTGCCTGCACTGCTGGCTTCTCCTCCAGGGCCACTCGAGGCCCAGTTGGCCATRTATGGAGAGTGGATGGAATCCTGCTGAGGCCACCCTGTCCCCAGCCCTGGCACTGCTGGCATTTTGAGCAGGCGGGTTTTTCACAGGGCAGCGTGGCCCACCGGCTGCCACCGCCCAGGTTGTGATGACCCAGGTGTCTCCAGGCAGGGCTGCCTGTCCCTGGGGAGCACAGAGGCCAAGGATGTTGTGGGATTGGCTGGTGGGGACATCAGGTCTCCTGAGGTCGGACAGGCTGCAGCTGTTGGCACGAGTCGGTTGTGTGGAGGTTAAGTGGCGTCGGTGGATTTAAGGGGACCCCTGGGTCAGGTAAGGGGCTYACATGTCTCCCAGCTTGGGACACTCCCTCCCCTGGGCTCTGCTGCCCAGGTGGTGGCTGTATACTCCAGTTCAGCCAGCCCCCTGCACCTGCTCAGGTTGGCAGGGATGAGGCCTCCCTGTGTGTCCCTAGGGGTGACATCGAGGCCCAGGCGCTGTGGGAGCCAGAAGGCTGAGCTCAGCCCGTCCTCCCTCAGGATGGGGACGCTGTGGAGACAGTGACCGTGTTCTGGGCAGAACTTGGCCTCAGCCCTACTCCTGCCACACACAGCCCAGAAACAGAGCTGACAGAGGCCCCACGAGGGCCGTGTGAGACTACAGCCTGCTCCAGGCACCACCCTGCCCCTTGTGGCCAGGGGTCAGGGCACCACCAGGGACAGTGTGCAGTCTATCCTGGGGATGGGCTCCACCTCATGGTGCACCAAATTCCAGGAGGCCCTGGAACTTGTCCACAGAGGAGTGTGGAGAGCAGTCTGGAAGGACCCTGATGGTAGCCACAGGGTGGCACGGGTGACACTGCTGGCAGGTGCCCATGGACAGCCCCTTTTTTAAAAAAAATATCTTTTTAGTTGTAGTTGGACACAATACCTTTATTTTTATTTGTTTTGTTTTTATGTGGAGCTGAGGATGGAACCCAGCCCCTCGCACGTGCCAGGCGAGTGCTSGGCCGCAAGCCCCACCCGGCCCCTGGACAGCCCTTTTGAACAGAAGAGCTGGTGGTGGAGTGGCGGGCGCAGGGGCCCTTCCTAGTGCAGGGCCTGTGTAGACGGCCTGGGTGGTGTTGCTGGATGCTGCTCATTTCCCAGGCAGAGGCCAGGAAAGCCCTGGACGCCTGTTTTCCACCTGCCTGATCAAGAAGCTCACAGTTTCCAGGGGAAGCCCAGGCTGTGCCCGGTCAGCCACAGGCACCATGGTCAGGCAGCCCCACCCAGAGGCCCATCTGGCAGGGTTGGRGCAAGGGCCCAGGCCTGGGGAAAATCAGATTAGACCCTTCGGGCGGCCAGCTCTCCCGACCAGGCTCCATGCAGTGCTGACGTCCAGTGCAGCTGCCAAGAGAAAAGTTGGTGGTTTTCAGAGCGCAGGGGGACCAGGGCCGGCAGGACAGCCAGAAGGAGCCGAGCACGCAGGRCGGAAACCCAGGGGTCCGCTCTTCAGAACAGCAACCCAGAAGCTGCGGTCCTTTCCTAGGGAACAGGGCTGGACCTCAGGCATGAAGTGCAGGACCCGCAGGGTTGGAAATGGCACCAACATGCCAGTTCCCGTGCTGGGGGAACCTGGCGGCCGAGGTCTGGGGTGCACACAGACCTGGGGAGGGGCAGAGGCCGTCTGCAGAAGCAGTGACCTGCCGCTGCAGGGACAGCTGTCCATCGGGCTAGGAAGGCCTGCCTGTCTGCAGCTTGTTGGGCCTGTTCAGATGGCCTTATTTTTTGTTGCTCTTAAGGACTTTTTATCTTTTTTGGTACTGAAAATGGAACCCTGCTGAAGAGCAGCCCTCTGCCCTGAGCCACGTCCCTAGTCCTGTTTATTTTTCACKTTGAGACAGGGCCTTGCTAAGTTACTAAGGCTGGCCTCGACTCGGAATCCTCCTGTTTCAGCCTTCTCAGCCGYTGATTTCCAGCTTTTGAGCAGAAGGACGTCCTAGGCATAGTCTCTGGGTCCTTGCTGACCTCACTCTGCGTTTCTCCTGGTGCTGCAGCAGCCTGTGTCCGCCCCGGGTCACAGGCAGGCGTGTCTCTGAYGCCTGTGTCTTGTGTGTGGTGTTTTTCAGGATTTCTTCTTCTATTCCCTAGTCTACGACCCACAGCAGAAGACCCTGCTGGCTGATAAAGGGGAGATCCGCGTGGGGAACCGGTACCAGGCCGACATCACCGACTTGCTGAGAGAAGGTGGGTGTGGCCCAGAGCCCTCATGGTGCCTCCTGGGCGTCCACCTTGGCTGGGACGTGGTGTCTGTGGCTGTGAGGTGTGCACGTTCCGGGCCTGTGGTGGGGTGCCGGTCAGGTGTGGTGTCAACAGTGGTGGGCACAGGCTGCTGCCCTGGGCCCCCTTGCCCCGGTAAGTGTCGGATGGCACTTGGAAGCAGGGACCCCGGGAGGAGCGAGGGCCACTGCGGGCAGGCTGGTGTTTTGTTTCGCTGTGGCAGTTTCGCTTCCTGTTGAAGCTTGTGAGTCTACTAGCCTCCTGTGCGCCTGGCCTGGGGCAGCGTGAGGGTGGGTGGCAGGTTGCACATGGGGGCAGCCCACCCCTCCCAGCCCTGAACACCTGGCCTTCACCTCCTGATGAGCAGCTGGACACCTCCTGGGCTCGCTCAGCAGCCCTGTTGGGAGTCGAGGACTGTGGGTTGTGGGTCGTGGGTCGTGGGTCGTGGGTCGAGGCTTCTGAGCCCTTGTTCACGGGTGCGGGTCTGAGTCAGGTGGCCCTTGTGTTTGCACATGTTCTCTTTGCTGGTGTGTGGGATGACGGCCTGGTGAGGCTCCAGGTGAGGTGGTGTGCTCCCGGGGCTGGCTGGATCCAAGAGCCTGTGGCGCACCAGCCAGGCTGAGCTGAGAGGCAGCTGGGGACCTGGGCACACCAGGGCCGGGGGGGCTGTTGTCTCTGAGCCAGGCGCTCTGCAAGGGCTGTCCCTTGTCCTGCGAGGGCCGCTGCCGGCTGAGCTCTGATGCGGATGTGCCCACCTCCTGGTAGTTGTCCTCTGCCAACTGAGCCCGCCTGTCCCTGGCTCTGGAGCCCCTGCTACCCTGCTCCCTGTCTCCCAAGTGGCGCTGCCCCGGTCTGAGCTCTGTGTCCAGCTCTGCTGCGGTCCAGTCAGGCTGTCAGGCCTCTCCGGCCTCCTGGTCCCTGTCTGACTAGGTTCTTCTCCCTTCGCCTTCCTGGCCCTCCTCAGGGCAGGYTCTGGCCTCCTGGGCTGACAGCTCTGCCCACTGCGTCCCTCAGGTTGGCCCTGTGTGGACCCTGCAGGTGAGCAGCCCTCAGTGTTGGCACCCGGCAGGGACAAGCTGGAGTCCCTAGACTCTGCTGATGGGCTGGCCTAAGGTCCTGGGGCCACTGCCTGCTGTCCTCCTCCCCCTCCTCGGTGGCGGCTCCTGGCGGGCTGTCCTGGGAGACGGGGGTGCAGGCTGCCCCAGGTACTTCGTGGCCCCGGTCCTCCTGGTCCCAGCTTGTCCGTTTCTTTCCTCCCCAGCCTTCTTCCTCTCGTAGCCTGTCCCCCTCCGTGGTCGGAGTGCCGTGGCTCTCCGAGGCAGGCTCAGCTGCGCGCCTGCACCGGTGGCACCCCCAGGCCACATGGGCTGGCCTGGCCATGTGCGTCCCCGGTGCTGTTTGATGTGCCTGTTTCCGTGCCTTCTGGCTCTGTGTTCCTTTCCTCTCTCGGGGGCTGGCCGGATCCAAGAGCCTGTGACGCACCAGGCTGAGCTGAGAGGCAGCTGGGGACCTGGGCGTGCTAAGCTGTGCCCTTCCTAGAGGGCTGTCCTGTGGCGCCTTCAAGATGTGGATGGACTTCCCTATGTGCCCTGTGGGCAGGAGGCCACCTATCCTCTGCTCTGCCCTGTGGCTCAGCCTCTTTACCCAGTTCGTGCCACTCTGGGGCCTCCTCGAGACAGCCAGAACCAGGCCGCGAGCTGGCCTCCTGGTGTAGCTGCCATCCATCCTGGCCAGGGCAGGGACTTGGGAAAGCAGCAGAGGCCTCAGCTGTGGAACACGTGTGAATTTAGGTCCTGAGGACCACTGTCCCTTTGTGGAAGGGGCTGTGAAGGCCAGAGGACCTCGCCTGGAACCTGTCACTGGAACCCACTGTTCCTTCCTGGTGCTGTGTGCTTGCTGGACAGGAGGCCAGGAGAGCCTGAAAGGTCCCTGCCCTGGCCACGGGGCCTGACCTGGAGAGCAGGGCTCGGCAACCCTCCTGCCGGCTGCTAGGAGAGGGGCCAGACATGGTGGCCTCCTCTGCTGGGCCCTGCTGCCCTCTAGCTTTGAGGTGTCACAGGTGTGACTGTGACCAAGGAGTGGCTCTGGCCTGGGGGGCAGGAGGTACACCCCAGTTCTCCATGTGCCCCTGACCCCAGGCCATACCAGAAGGACACCCTCTGCAGCACTGGGGACCCGAGTAGTTCCCTGTGGGGCCTGGAGCAGCCCCAGAACCAGGACCTGCAGGGAAGCCCTGTAGGCCTCACTGGGACCCCTCCTGGGTCCATCTGCACATCTGTAGCACTGGGCTTCCTTCCTGGGACCCACCCAGCCGCCTAGTCACAGGCCTGACCTCCCCTGGACATGTGGTGAGCTCTGCTCACAGGCAGGGTCCAGGAGAGCTGTCCCTGCGAGGGTCTTGGAGACATTCTGGCCCAGGTCCCGCCCAGGACCCCACACCTGTTCCATTTCCAGCACCAAGTTGAGGCCGTCCCTGGTCACATGGTGCATCGTTGCCAAGGGCCCCAGGGAAGCTGGCTGGTGCCTTGCAGAACGTGAACCTTGGTGTTTCACTTAATCACAGATGTGGCCCTGGGCCGGAGAGACGGCCAAGGGCCAGCTGTGGGCTCTCCGCCTCTCCCATCAGGCCGGCCCTGCTCAGGACAGACTCCRGGGCCTCTGCCGCACAGGAACCTCCTCTCCACCCAGAAGCACAGCAGCGAGCATCCTGGGGTGTGGGGCTATCCTCCACCACATCGCCCTGCTGTACTCTTGCCATGGCATCCAGCAGGTGTCACATGATGTGGCCCCATGTGACTGAAAGCGCATGGAACATGCTTCTTGTCACGGCTGCGTGGAATCTGCAGCTCCTCTCCTTTGGTTGGCAGCTGGCTGCCAGGACCTCCTGCTCCCCCTGGGACCCTGGGACAGTGGGCAGGCACCTCGATGGGCTCACTAGGCTTTCCAAGTTCTGATGTCACACGGCTGCACCCCACCGTCCCAGTCAGTGTGGAGTGTGTCCTGGGCTGGCCTCCAGGGCCATGAGGCCTTTCAGTGGTGGGGTGTGTGTGTGCGCGCGTGTATGCCGGCTTCCAGGGTCACACAGCTCTTCCCTGGAGAGAGAGAGAGAGAGAGAGAGAGAGAGAGAGAGAGTGTGTGTGTGTGTGTGTGTGTGTGTACATGTGTGCTGGCCTCCAGGGTCACGAGGCCTTTCTCTGGAGTTTCTGTGTGTGTACACGGGCGTGTCCTTTCTCCTCATCTTAGCTCCTGGGGAGGTGGTGGTGTTCCCATGACAGATCCTGGGCTTTCCCCAGCACCTCTCTGACCCCACCAAACCACACTTCTCCCCATAGGTGAGGAGGATGGCCGTGACCAGTCCAAATTGGAGACCAAGGTGTGGGAGGCACATAACCCACTGGTGGACAAGCAGATTGACCAGTTCCTTGTGGTGGCCCGGTAAGTTCCCCACTGGGCCCTGGTGTCAGGACTGCAAGGGGCTCAGCCTGCAGCTTTCCTGCACTAGGTGCTGGGGCACCAGGGGTCTTAGATCTCACACATGGACAGGATCCCACAGTCCTGTCCTTGGGCTCCTGATGGCCAGACCCTCACTGGCAGTTAAGACCCCTTAGAGTTCCCAGAGGGCATCAGAGGCCCTAGCCCATCCTTCTCTGGGCGTGGCCGATACTGCCTGGGAGTCCCGGGGCAGGGTGCCTCAGGGCCATCCACACTAGTGGCCAGCAAGCCAGCATGGGGCAGGCTGGGGATGGCAGGGGAGTTCACGAGGGATGGGGTGAGGCCTGGAGAGAGCCAGTGGGCCGGGAGCTGTGGCTCAGCTGACCCCAGCCGCTCATGCAGACGGGCTGGCCTCAGCCCCTGAGTCGGAGGCAGCTGGGTGTGGGTGTGAATAGCTCCGCAGCTRGAGAGGCTCTGCAGTTTCTGTCTGTGATGCCTGTACTCAGCTGCCCAAGGTGCCCGCAGGCCTATGTCCCAGGCCTGCTGGGAGCTGAACTCTGGTCTCCTGGGCCCTGCTGACCTGTGGGGTGGGGGCATCCCTCCTGCTTGTCCGACTCTGGTGTCTGTGCCCCTCCGCCCCCGTAGCTCCGTGGGAACCTTCGCCCGGGCCCTGGACTGCAGCAGCTCAGTGCGACAGCCCAGCCTGCACATGAGCGCTGCCGCGGCCTCCCGAGACATCACCCTGGTAAGTGGGCTGCAGCCATCTCCCCGCCCTCACCTGGGGCCAGCACCCGCCTCAGGCATGCCCCTCACCTGGGGCCAGCACCGCCTCAGGCATGCAGGGTAAGGGAAGGTGGCCCTCCACCTAGAGCTCAGCCTCTCCCCTTCCACCCCCGACTTGGCCAGTGTGTGCTGGGGGGTCAGGGAGGGAGGGATGCTCCTCTTAAAGCACATTCCAGGTTCGGGGGGATGCTCGGGCCTGGGAGGGCTGGGCTCGGGTGACCCTGCTGTCCTGCTGCAGTTCCACGCCATGGACACCCTGCACAAGAATATCTACGACATCTCCCGGGCCATCTCAGCCCTCGTGCCGCAGGGCGGGCCCGTGCTCTGCAGGGACGAGATGGAAGAGTGGTCAGCRTCTGAGGCTAATCTTTTTGAGGAAGCCCTGGAAAAATATGGGAAAGATTTTACAGATATTCAGCAAGATTTTGTAAGTGCCCCGGGAGGGGCGGGGAGCAACCAGCTGTGGTGCTTCAACAGGTGGGCTGTGGGATGTGCGTGGGAAGCCCTGTGCCCCTGTCCTGCCTCTGTGCTGTGCTGAGCACACACACCAGGTCCCTTTGGGCCTGGGCCACACCTGCAAGCGCCACCTTGTGGTGAGGACCAGGTCCCTGGGGGTGTCCTGGAGCTCAGCCTGTGTCATGCGTCCTGTGAGAATCTGAACTTAGGCCTATGGGTCTGCGCTCTGAGGCCCTTCTTCTAGTGCGGAAGGGCCTGTGTCCTGTACCCAGCCCTGAAGGATTGCATACTTTTAAATTTGGCTGAATGAAGAGCAGCCCCTGCTCTGTGGCGAAGGCCCACGGTCACCCATGGAGGAGGAGCGTGTTGTGCATGGTGGGGCTGTCAGGCCAGGACACAGCGGGACAGCCTCTATCCAGCTAGGAGCGGCAGCAAAACAGGAGCAAGTCCAACCCAAGGAGGCAGAGATGGGAGGTTGGAGAGTGCTGAGGATCACAGGCTGGATGAGGCTGTGGGCCTGGAGGGGAGCTTCAACTTGTCCCACAGCCCTGGGCTGTCCTGGTTGGGGGGTCTCCTGATGGGATATCCCTGGCAGGAGTGGAAGATGACCAGGTACAGGTGCTGGAGGACACTGGCCCTTCCCCTCACCAGCCTACAGATAGGGTGCATACATAACTTGGCCAGAAACTAAACAAAGTGAGCAAAACCTCAGACTGAACACAGAACCAGAAGATGGAATAGAATGGAATGTGTCATTTAGATGGTGGAGCTGCAGAGGGTGAGCCAGGGGCCTGAGGGCCCCAGAGATGCCTGCCTAGGGCACTGCTGTGTGTCTGTGCTGGGAAGACACAGAAGCTCTGCAGGCCAGATCCTCCAGCTGAGCCCTGGCTGGGTGTGGCCCGGCCTGGAGCACTGGCCAGCCTGCGAGGCCTCAGGTTCCGACCCAGAAGAGAGTGTAGGTAAACAGGCAGTGCGAGCTGGGGGACTGCAGGTGCCTTCTAAATGTAGCTTGGGGTAGGAGTCAGGAGCAAGCAGTGAATCTGGATGTCCTTGGTGAGAAGACTGCGAGCTCACAGAGCCTGGGGGATCTCAGCGCTTAGGACATGAGCACACGGGAGCACACAGAAGTGTGCGAGGGCCAGAGAGCGCGTCAGATGCAGAGAAGAGTCTGCACACTGGAGTCCGTCCAGGCGAGGGCCAGCGCCCTGTCGGCCACTTCTTGCGGGTCCCTCGGTGCCCCTTAGCAGGCCCTGAGGCTAGGGAGTTCACAGGAGCAGACGTCCTTCCCCTTCCTGCCGTGCCACCAGAGGGCAGGGGGCCAGGGAGTGCAGAGAGGAGCCCCCCAAACTCCTTCCTCTCTGATCCTTCAAGAGGACGCCAGGAGGTCCCACCCCTTGGCGTCCCAGTGGCAGTTACATTCAGCATGGGTTGGGAGGGGACAGTCTAGGGGGTTGCATTGTTCAGCATTTAGCTTGGGGACTCCCTTCAGTGGGTGCCACCCCCTCCTCTGTGCGGCCCTTGTCCCTGCCCACCTCATGCCCCCTTCCTGCCCCAGCTCCCGTGGAAGTCGCTCACCAGCATCATCGAGTACTACTACATGTGGAAGACCACTGACAGATACGTCCAGCAGGTGAGCCCGCCTGCCCCTGCCCCCCACCCTGAGCAAGGGGAGGAGCTGGGGAGGCGCAGATAGCCCCRGTGGGTCAGCAAGGCTGAGCTGGTCCCACAGGCCTTCCCGGAGGAGGCAGTGCTCAGGAGACAGTGGTGGTCCCTCCCCCTGGTTCCCAGGCTGTGGCCTGGCCTGCCCGCTGACCTCTCTGATCCTCTCTTTTGCTTTAAGAAACGTTTGAAAGCAGCTGAAGCAGAGAGCAAGTTAAAGCAAGTTTATATTCCCAACTAGTAAGTTCCAGCTTTGGTCCCTGAGGGTTGGCAGGGCGGACTGTGGGCACCAGGCTTCCGGGGGCTCCTGAACTGGCCGGCCTGCAGTCTAGACAGTCCGGAGGCCCTGGAGGAAACCCTGTGTGGTGCTGAGTGGCCTGCGGGGGCCAGAGGGGGAGTCAGGCCCCGARGCCCAGGGCTTAGTGCTCTGCACCCTGGGACTGGGAGGACAGCTCCACCTGGTGGTGGCCACTCCTAGAAATGCCAAGGCACAGGGACAGGGGTCTGGCTACCTGGCTGCCTCACAGGGCTGCTGTGACTGCTCCCTCCCCCCTTTAAGCAACAAGCCAAACCCGAACCAGATCAGCGTCAACAGCGTTAAGGCCAGTGTGGTGAACGGCACAGGGGCGCCAGGCCAGAGCCCCGGGGCTGGCCGGGCCTGCGAGAGCTGCTACAGTAAGTGCCCGCCTGGCACCCACTGGGGTGGCAGGGGCCGCAGGGACGTCACTGCCGCCATGGTGCCATGTGGTCTCTGCAGGCCCGTGACCTGGCCTGGGGTGGCCTGTGACGGTGGGGCTGTAGCAGTGGGGGGTGAGGAGAGCTGGGAGCATGCGGGGTTCCCTGGGTGGGTGGGGGCGGCTGCGGCAGGGGCGGGGGACACTGTGGAATGCTCTCTGCACCGTTGGTTCTGCTTAAGAATCCGTCTATTTCCAACTTTGTTGTCCGTAGCCACACAGTCTTACCAGTGGTATTCTTGGGGTCCCCCTAACATGCAGTGTCGCCTCTGCGCATCTTGTTGGACATATTGGAAGAAATATGGTGGCTTGAAAATGCCAACCCGGTTAGATGGAGAGAGGCCAGGACCAAATCGCAACAACATGGTAAGTGGGACGAGCCTGCCACCCGCTCTGCGTCGGCCACAGGCCCTCGGCCCTCGGTCATGGCGCTGTGTTGGGCCGGTGCGCCCCCTTCCGCAGAGTCCCCACGGCGTCCCAGCCCGGAGCAGCGGGAGCCCCAAGTTTGCCATGAAGACGAGGCAGGCTTTCTACCTGCACACCACCAAGCTGACCCGGATCGCCCGGCGCCTGTGCCGTGAGATCCTGCGCCCATGGCATGCCGCACGGCACCCCTACATGCCCATCAACAGTGCCGCCATCAAGGCTGAGTGTGAGTCTTCCTCCTGGTGTCCGTGTACCTGCGGTGGGTAGGCGGCTTCGGGGCCTGGCCGTGGGGCCAGCAGCATCTGGGCCCAGGGAGAACACCCAGATTGGGGTACAGGCTCTGCTCAGCTCCCTGGGGGCCCAGCCCCTGATACACCTTATCCCTCCACAGGCACTGCCCGACTGCCCGAAGCTTCCCAGAGCCCACTGGTGCTGAAGCAGGCAGTGCGGAAGCCCCTGGAAGCTGTGCTCCGGTATCTCGGTAAGCTGGCGGTGGCCGGGGTCCAGGGAGCCGCCCTTGGAGCTTCCAAAATGGAAGCTTCTGGTGCAGCCCACAGCTCCTTCATCCAGAGGCTTGAATGCTCCTGGGACGCCCCTCTGGGTGCCTTGCACTATGCCAGTCAGGCAGACCCACGGGCCTTGCGCCCCTGCCACCAGGGTCACAGTGAGTCTCAGACACTGCGGGGTTTAGCCTCCCTGAGGCACACCGAGGACCCCCTTCAGAGTCCCCGCACACCCTGATGCCCACAGGGAATCCTCCTGGACCCAGGCGCCTCCATAGGCAGCACTCAGGCCTTTGCGGGCCTTTTTGGGAAGGAGGCGCATACCTGGCCACCATCCTTGCTGGGAGGCCCAAGACTCCAGCCATGTGCCTGGTCCATCCAGAAGCATGGGCCCCAGGCCTGCAGTGGGGGTGCCCCGCCAGCATGATGCTCGAGCAGGCTCATGAGTCAGTCCTCCCAGGGTGGAGGTGCCTGTCCTGGGAAGGACGTTCCGGAAACATGAGCTAAGTGTGCTCTGCACAGACACAGTTGCCTGGCACCGTTCCCTCCCCGGGGCCCTGGGCCCCAGGGCTGGCCCTACCCTTGTCCTGTGGAGGAGGTGGCTGGGGTGTCTCTTTAGCTAGGCCAGTAGTTCAGCATCTGGCCAGCGGCCAGCCCTCTGATACCATCTCTGATGGCTTAGACGCGGAGGCTGTCAGATGGGCCTGCAGTGTTTACGGGCCTGTCTGGGTCCTAGAGGCTGCGGGCACTGACCCAGCACTGCAGCAGCTCCCAGGGCTGCGGCTGGCCCTCCTGCAGGGAGCCTGCCCGCCGATGGTGTCTAAGCCCCAGCCCTGCTGGGTACTGGTCTCCATATAGCCACTTGCCCAGAGTCTTGCGGGCCCTTGGGGTGGAGGACCCGGTGGTGTCACTGCCAGGCTCTGACACTCGGCCTTCTGCTGCTCCCACAGAGACCCATCCCCGACCCCCCAAACCCGACCCTGTAAAGAGCGCGTCCAGCGTACTCAGCAGCCTGACCCCTGCCAAGTCGGCCCCGGTCATCAACAATGGCTCCCCCACCATCCTGGGCAAGAGGAGCTATGAGCAGCACAATGGTGTGGACGGTGAGTCGGGTTCTGCTGCCCGCCCTGGTGGGGAGGCCAGGCAGGGTGTGTACAGGGCACAGCCTCCTGCCCTGGGCTGCACACGGCCCGTGCTGGGCCTGACGGCACTGCTGACTGCGCCAGTTGATGGTGTTTTCTCTCCCTCTCTCCTGCCCGTGGCGCTGCCAGGCAACGTGAAGAAGCGCCTCTTGATGCCCAGTAGGGGTAAGGCCCGCGGCCACTGGCGTGTGGCGAGCCCGCGTGGTGCCTGTGTGTGCTGTCTGCTCGCCGTGGGCGGCTCAGGGCACGTGCAGGGGCAGTCTGCACGGGCCCGGCCACAGCCTCACCCCGTGCTTCGCTTGGCCTCGCTGCTCGCTCACAGAGAGCCCATGAGCTCTGGCCTCTGGCCTGCGTCCTCCCGGCCTGGGCCCTGGGGTGGACTGTCCTTGCACACGTCGCCCTGGTGCCCCCACTGCCATCGCGCTGTGACTGCTCGCATGCCCTCAGCCCCACCCTGGGGCCACGCGGTGCTGCCTGCCATCCCCTCGCGCATATGCTGGGTGGGGCCGGCGGCTGGTGGAGCATCTTGCCGTGGGTGGCTGGGCCACGCCCAGGCCTGGTGCCTCCCGACGGATCCGTCGGAGCATCTCTTCAGGCCCTGCTTTGTTGGAGCAGGGTGGCAGGACCCCAGTCTACCCTGGGGGAGCAGGTGCAGGCCCTAGCCCCAGTGTCACCAGCAAGCCCTGAGGGGCAGCCACCAGGATGGGCCTGCTCAGGCCCCTCCCCAGGCTGTCAGGACAGGTGTGCTGCTCTYACCAGCAAGCTGGCTCAAGGGAGGGGCCAGGCACTGCCCCAGGAGGTGGCAGCCACCCAGCTGTACCTTGTGCCCTTGGAACATGCCCACTCAAGGTGGTCTTAGGACCTTGCAGGCCACTGGGCACCCTGGCAGGCATATCACTATGGGGTCAGCCGGCCACTCTGGGGCTGCAGGGTGAGCTCACACCTGGGCCTGTCCCTTCCATCAGGACCCATCTGGACAGGGCCTCTGGGCTGTCTGTTGGCAGGGCCGCCCTAAGAGCTGGCCTCTGGTTCTGTGGGAAGCTGCTCACAGGCAAGTTGGTCCAGTCTGTTTATTCCCACTGAGTTTTCGGAAACCCACCTCCTTGGATCCTAGTGTGTGGTTCCTAGTGGTGGGCACCTCCCAGGAGGCAGGGGTGGCCTGTCCAGCCCTTTGGGGCACCACAATGGCCTGTACTCCACAGGGTCAGATCCCAGGTCAGAGGGGCTGGCCATGAGACCAATCCTAATCCCAGACTGTGTACTGTAGAGGGCTAGAAGCTGTGGGTCAGCTGGATGTTGGCTCAGCCTCCTTGCGGACGCTGAGGGGAGACTGTGGCCTGGGGTGGGGACTCTGTCCTGCCTGGGCAGGTGTGAGCTCTGGATGAGGGCCTGCCCAGCTCATGGGGCCTTACTCACTGCCCACTGCCCTGTGCTGCCCCGCCCCACCCCGTCCCATGCATGCTGCTCACCCTAACTCTGCCGGTCTTCTTCCCTCTGCCATCCGTCGCTCTGGCAGGCACTTACCTGGGTAAGTAGCTTTGGTGCTAATGGCTGTCCCCGGGCACAGGGCTGGCTGGGATTCTTGCAGGTGCCATGAGCAGGCTGTCCCTGTTCAGGCACTATAGCCCAGAGACCTGGGGCCTAGCCCTGCCCCACCTAGGGAGCCAAGCAAGCTGGGCCCCAGTGCTGTGTTCCTATATGAATACACGACCTGTGTAACTCCACGTCACCTCAGCCACAAGAGTGGGAGGTCCTGCTCCGTGTGTGGATGTGTCAGTACATTCCACTGTCACGTGTGACTGAGAACAACAAATAGGAAATACAAAAATAAACTAAAAGTAAAAGCTGGACCCTACATGAGGAGTCACTCTGGGTGGAGGAGGTTGGGACTGGAGGGGTGCTGTGGGGGCCACCAGGGCCTGACCAGGCACCAAGGGGCTGAGGCACCCTTTCCTGTCCAGTGCTGGGGACAGGCTGTCCAGAGACCACTTTAGTTCTCATGCTTACATTGGCTGTCAGGGCCAGGAGGTTAACAGTGGCCCTGGGTGGCGCTGGCCACCACTGATGGAGTCTGAGCTTTACCTCTTGGCCCTACTCTGGTGGCATCCCTCTGGGAACTGTCCATGTTGAGCCTTGGGTGCCCTCCTTAGCAGCTGGCACCAAGCCACAAGTGGGCTGAGGCTGCCTTGCAGAGGGGCTTCTGGGGCTGCTGACCTGAATACAGCCATGGCGCGTCGTGATAGTGTGTCGAGGCCCAGCGGGGTGGGTGGTCTGCCTGCSGGGAGCCGGCCGTCAGACTCCCTTCTCTTGGCCTTCTGCCTGGAGCCCAAGCGGCTGCATCGTCTGCTGCCCAGGACAGGTAGCTCTAAGAGCTCATGGATGTCGAGCCAGCCTGGGACTGAGGACCTGAGTCCCCACATCCCTAAGCCCCTTGCTGTAGGCCATAGATCCAGGGATGACCCCAAGAAGCTGCCTGTGTCCTGGGCCTGGCTGAGGGCCATCAGCAGGCAGTGTGGGTGCAGGATGCCCTCCCCTGACCCAGGCTCACCTTCTGTCCTTTCCTCACCAGGTCTGGCAAACCACGGACAGACCAGGCACATGGTAAGAGCCAGCGACCTGTTGGGGGTGAGGCCCAGGCCACCCTGCCAGTGCCGTGGGGCAGACCAGAGAGGTGGCACTGGCCTCTTGCGGGACTGAACAGCCCTCACAGGCTCCCTGCCTGGCCTGGCCTGGGGTGTGTGAGCCACACATGGCAGGGTCTCCTGTCTCTCCCTAGGAGCCCCTCATGCTCTTCTCCCCCCCAGGGACCAAGCCGGAACCTGCTGCTCAATGGGAAGTCATACCCCACCAAAGTGCGCCTGATCCGGGGGGGCTCCCTGCCGCCTGTTAAGAGGCGACGGATGAACTGGATCGACGCCCCGGATGACGTGTTCTACATGGCCACGGAGGAGACCAGGTGGGGCCCTCGCAGGGCAGGGCCAGGGTCTCCGCCACCCTTCCAGCACTCACCAGCCTGCYTGCCTCTCCCCACAGGAAGATCCGCAAGCTGCTCTCATCCTCGGACACCAAGCGTGCTGCCCGCCGGCCCTATAAGCCCATCGCCCTGCGCCAGAGCCAGGCTCTACCGCTGCGGCCACCCCCGCCTGCACCAGTCAACGACGAGCCCATCGTCATCGAGGACTAGGGCCGCCTGCCCTTGCCCATGTCCCTCGAGGCCTACACAGATGGCGGTCTCCTCCCCGCCAGACTGCTGCCCGCCCCTCCTCTGTTTCTGTAGTGCCCACCTCCCGCCCTCACCTGCAGGACTCGGTTGTCGGGGAAGTGTGGCCTCCTCACTCACTCCGAGAGGCCGAGGAGTCCTTTTTAGCTTTGTGTTTACTGTCTGGCTGGAGCAGACGAGGAGCCGCCCTGCCCTGCACGCCGTGGGGCTCTTGCCCGGGCCGGGCCCTAAGGTTTTGTTGTGTTCTGTTGAAGGTGCCATTTTAAATTTTATTTTTATTACTTTTTTTGTAGATGAACTTGAGCTCTGTAACTTACACCTGGAACGTTAGGATTGGAGCGGCCGGTGGTGGCCGAGCTGCCTGGCGGGGTTGGCCCCTTGTCTTTTCAAGTAATTTTCATATTAAACAAAAACAAAGAAAAAAAATCTCATAAAAAGGAAAAAACCCAGCCAACCCTTCCCTGTGTCTTTTGTTCCCAGCCCGTCTCCCAGTCACGGGCCTGGGGCCTTCCCTCACCTCAACACCTGTGAAGACCCCGGGTCTTCCCTTGGCGGGTCGGGGCCCAGGACACCTCTTCCCACACTTGCCCCAGCAGTCAGGCCAGAATGGTGGGCAGTGACTGGGGCAAAGCAGCTCTCCTCAGGGCAGCCCGAGAGGCCACCTCAGCCCAGACCTCCTGGGGCCAGGGGCACCCTAGGCTGACCTTCAGAGCCCTGATCCAGTCCTTCCCCTGCTACCTTCCATGTCAGCCAGGGCAAGGGCCTCCCCTGAAGAGGAGCTATACTGAGACTGCCTAAGGCCAGGGTCATGGGCACAACTGGGCCAGCTTGGCCTGAAAGCTCTAAGTCCAGGGCCCACGCCCTACACTGGCCGGCCACCCCAGCAGGTGCACTTCTCCACAATGAGGATTTGCTCAAATTTCAGCAGAAATTTCCCTGCTCAGAAATCTTATCTCAGCCTGTCCCTCACCCTTGCAGGCATGGGGACAGGTGCAGGCTGGGCCAGCCTGAGGGAGGAGCCTGGCTCTAGGGCCTGCCCTTCGGCCATTACTGCTCATCTGGCCCCTCCCCACGAGGCAGTGGGCTCTGCTTTGGGTTCTCCCACCCCCAGCCAAGGCATTAAAATAGAAACCACTTCTGCTGCTGCCCTGGGGATAGATAAGGGGGTATCTTGGCCTCCCTCTGTGAACCTGTGATGGGGCCCGACTTGGGGACAGGCCCGTGTGCTGGGGACACAGCTACAGTGGACACCTACCTATCTTCTCAGGTCACTGACTCCCTCTTCTCCTGCTAATTTTAGTCTTCATTTGGCCCCATGCCCTTGGTCCCCAACTAGGCCTTGAGAAAGGAGCCTCAAGCTTTTGGCAACTGGGGGGGGGGGTCTGGGGAAGGGGAGGGGGCTTTGGGTCAGCTCGAGCAGCCCCTGGCTCAGCGGTGCCCTTCCTCTTCAGGCAGTTTTTGTCCCCGAGGCTGTGGGGTCCTGGAGGCCTGGTGTGGGAAGGGCAGGTCGGCTCCCTCTACAATGCCTACCTCAGGGCCAGGCCCYTCCACCTGTGCCAGGCAGGGCTTTGGCTGTGTGCCCATCTTCGATGAGGATGAGGGGTGGGCAGAACCAGGGCCCGGGACTGGGTTTCTCAGCTTTGCTTTGTCCTCCTGAGGCACTGCTGATGGGGAAAAGGACCTGCCTCCCCAGGGTAGGGTTAGGGCCATCCCCAGAGGGCAGGCATGCTCTGAGGGACCTGAGGGTGGGCCTGGAGACCTGGTTCTAATAGCCCTGGCCTCCCTGCCAAGGCCCACCTCAGAGCCTCAGTCCAGGATGCACCCTTCCTGCATTTGCCACCAAGCCCATCCTAGGTTCCCTGCAGCAGGGTGACTGGACAGTAGGGCACCGTGTTACTGGGGCCCCAGGGGAAGGACCTCTGTTCCACAGCTGGTCACCTGCCTCAGCATCCAGGCCCCTGACTGCCTCCCCACACCCTGTCATCCTCCACTCAGCCTATGCTAGGTGCTTACACCTTCYCTTCTCCACACCAGGAGCCCATCCTGGCCCACCACTGCCCTAACCTCTAGCTCTTTGTGGCCTCAGAGGTGGAAGCCAAGGCTGTTGCTCTGTGCCTGTTGGCCCATGTCCATTCCTGTCAGGCCCAGTACAGCTCCATAACACCATGGAACCTCTGGCCTCGACCAAGGGACTGCAACTGGGGGTGAGCAGGGTAAAAGCTGTCAGCAGGACTCCCCTTCCCCTCCCCACTCCACCACCTCTTAACCCCGGGCATCTGGCCAGTGCTGAATGCCATTCCTTTGCTGCCACCCGTCCCAGGGTCCTCCACCCTCAACTGCTCTTCAGGCAAGGCTGGGCACCCTTAGGATCTGTCCTTCCAGAAAACACAGTCCTGCAAATATCAAGAAGTAGAGTGCTGTCAGGGGGGTGGTGCCCAAGTCCCCCCTTGGCTCCCAAGCTGGGGAAGGAGCTAGAGGGTACGGTAATGGGTACCAAGTGGAGGTCAGGGGRACGTGAATCCAGGCTGAGCAATGAGCTGGTGGTGAATGAAAGGACCCTGCCCAGGAAGGCACTGGCTGAATGCTCCCTGCCCCCATCTCTCACCTTGGCAGTCCAGAGGTGCCCAGGGGGAGCTGGTCAGGCTGGTCAGTCAGGCTTTGGGGGGGGGCATGTTTTGGTGCTGCCATTGCCATGGAAACGGCAGTGGCAGCCTGGTGTGTGCCAGGATGGGGGAAGGGAACCAGGGCAGGCCACTGCTACCTGGATCCTGGAAGGGGTGACGAAGCCACTTGGCCCAGACCTCAGGCYGGGTAGAGGCACCAGGCAGAGGAAATGAGGTGGACCTCAATGTCTGGCATGGAGCAGTGAAGAACGTGTCCAGAGTTGGCTGCCCAGACTGGGGCTTGGACGAGGAGTGTGAGGGTTGTTTCTGGGGCCCAGGTCCCAGCTGGGCAGTGGGCTGAGAAGGAGGACTGAGTAGACATCTGGGGGTCCGGAGGCCTTTGTCTTGGGGCAGATCCTTCTGGGGTCCAGGATGGAGGCAGGTAGAGGTTGGAGAGGCCAGGCAGGCCCCTGGTAGAGAGGACAGTGGTTTGCAGGGGGATGGTTCTGAGGAATAGGCAGGGTGGGAGACACCATCTGATTGGCAGGATCTCAGGCTGCCCAGCCCTGTGGAACGCTTTGGGGCCAGGAGCCTGGAACTTAGAGGCCCTGGGCCTAGGAAAGAAAGTAGCCAGGAACTCGCAGATGGGCGTGTCAGCCCTCAGCAGCCGGCTCGGAGGCCACTCGMAGCGGCCCCACTGCCCGAGTGGGAGTGCGTGCGGAGCAGCACCCGCGGCCCCCTCGTCCCTGCGCCAGCGCAGGCCGCCCCCTCCCGGCTCCCCACCCTTCSAGCCGTTTCTCGCGCTGTTTTTGGAAGTGGCGGCGCCTCCCTGCGAGTCCCGCCCGCCCGCCTTCAGCACCACAGACAGGACCGCTGGGCCCCGCCCGGAACCCGACGCCCAGCGCCGCGCAGCTGTTGCTGTGGAAACCGGGCAACAAAGGGAGGCGGTGTCGCGCGGCGGGTGGGGGTGGGTCGGCGCCCCGCGCGCGACCCCTCCCGCCGCGACTCTGCCAGGCGCCGGGGGCGGGGGCGGAGGACCCTTGACGGGTTCGCAGGGGGCACGCGCCGGCCCGAAGACCCGTTGTTGCCGTGGAAACGCTGAGGCGGGCCCCAGAGACCCGCGGAGCCAGCGGGTCTGGGCGCGGGGCAGGGTCGCCTTTCGCCCGCGGCAGGTGCGCCCCGCCCGCTGCATCTCCGGCGTCCCGCGGCCCGGGGGGCGGGCTCCCGAGGCCCCGCCCGGCCGCGGAGCCAATGACGGGCGGGGGGCCGGAGGGCGGGGCCGACTCGGGCGGCAGCGCGGAGAAGAGCGCGGGCGGAGGGCGCGGACAGATCGGGCGCACACACCATGGCCTCCAAGTGCCCCAAGTGCGACAAGACCGTGTACTTCGGTGAGTGTCCGCCCGCCGCCAGTCCCCCGCTGCACAACCGCGCCCCGCGGTGCGCTCGGGTTGGGGTGCGCGGCTGGAGCCCGGCTCTCCTAGCTACCCACGCGGGTGCGGCCGGAGGGTGCGGCCSGCGGGCAGCCACGCCAAGCCCTGGAGCTGCGGGTGGGGGCCGGTGGGGTGCGGGACCCTCAGCCCTAAAGCCATTTCCTCCGGTAACGACCCCGCCCTTGGGGCAGGGTCTTGGGCGCGCTCCGCAGCCGACACATCGCTGATCTCCGGCGGCGGCGCCACCCGGGGCGGGGTCGGGCGGGGTTGCGCGCTCCGGTCGTTCCTGGTCGTACCCCTTGGTCCCAGCCGGCTGCCCTTCCAGGCTCTGGCTCGCTTGGACCCAAGCAGTGACCCYAGAGCCCACTTGCTTCTACCCAGGCCGCTGGCCTAGGTCTGGGCTGCGTTGTCGGGACTCAGTCCAAGCGGGGGCGACCTTGGCCTCCGCCTCCAGCATGTCCCAACGAGTTCCTCTCCTTAGCGAGGTACCCCCGCAGTTTCACACCGGGGTGGAGGTGGGAGTGCTACAAAAGTCCTCACGGACTTGAGTTATGGGTGGCCTGGACCCCAGCCTTTTGGATGTCAGGACTGCTAGGGCAGGAGGCAGTATTAGGCAGCGGGGCTGGTCTCTTCCAGGCAGTCCCTCCTTTCAGATGTCCACCCAGACCCCTAACCTGTTCACTCACATCCTTGGGCTGCCCTGGGATAGCCCTGCTCCTTCTGACTGAGTCCCCACTTTCCCAGGGTAGCAAAGTCCCTGCCTATTGACAGAAGGACAGACATAGCACCAGAAATGAGGATAGCAGAAGGGTAGAACAGACAGGGTCTGCCAGGGGGTGGTCAGAGGAAGCCACTGGCTTCCTCAGCCCAGACAGGAGGAGGAGGAGGAGAGGCCACACTGCTGTTTGCTGTTCCCAGAGGGGAGGGACCGGATTTGGCCTGGAGTGTTTTGGCCTGGCCAGGAGCTGAGGGGCTTCCTGCTTCCTCCTCAGGAGCTGGCCCAGCCCTCAGTCCCTGTCCAAAGAGGGCTTGTCCCTACAAGGCTCAGGGTGAGGAGCAGAGGCCAGGGCCCTCGCAGTCTGGCTGTTCATGACTTTATCCCAGACCCCAGCTTAGGATTCTCTGGAGCCTTGGCCAACAAGCAACCCGGAAAAAGATCTCTGCCACTTGGAAGAGAGGAGAACAGGCTCCTCAGCCCCAGAGGCTCTGTCCTGCCTGAAAGCCCTGAAGGCAGGGGTCCAGAGCCCTGCCCACTCCACCACCAGGCTGCAGCCCAGCACCCCCGCTACGCAGACCCCAGCCAGGACATCCTAGAGGAACCTTAGGATTTGTGCCTGTGTCCTCGAGAACGCATGTGGCCTGGTGGGGAGCCCTTTCCCTTCCAAGCTATTAGACTTGATCGATTCTGTGTTCCCAGCTCAAGTCGATGTGGCCATCGACTCAGCCAGTGGGTCTGAGGGTCAGTTCCCTGCCCCCACATGGCCCATGGCCCAGAGCTGGCCAGAGGAGCCTGGTTCTGGCAGCCCTGGACTACAGCTGCCACAGCCGCCGCTGGCGATCTCAACGACTTTCTTATCGCAGTGCTAGGAGAGGATGCCAGGCTGGGGAGAGGACCAAGCCCCCCTCCACCCAGCCAGCTCCTGTCTGCCTTGGGGTGGACACAGTGGGGGCCCTGGCTGATGGTGTCAGGGGAAGATGAGCAGGTACTCCTGGAGGATGGCCTTTCCCCGAGTTCTGGAGAACCAGCACTTGGGGCCCTGTACTGAGGAACCTGAAGCACCTAGTCTTGTGGCCCAGATCAGTACCCCAGGCCTCTCGAGGTAGGCTGTACCCTGCCAGGGCTCCATTCTCTACCTCTTGCCAGGTTTGCCAGGGTTCTGGCCCAGATGGCATGCACTGGGCCACACTGTGAGTGGGAACTAAAGAGCTGCTGGTCCTCTACCCAGCGGAGCTGGGGCCACAGCCCAGGGCCATGACACCCTCCTCAGCCTCCAGTCTAGCCCCTTCCCTCTGGAATTCCGGCTCTACTCCAGCCCTTCTTCCTGCCCTCTTCTCCACCCTTTTCCTGCTTTACTCCCATGGGGAGGCCCAGCTTCTGTCCACTTGGAGGCCCACGCTTCCGCCCTTTGGAAGGTGGCTCAGCAGCCTGAGCTCCCAGAGTGGGGATAGTGGGCACCCCACTCTCAGCAGCTGGTCTCAGACCTTTGGCGCCAAAGTGGCAGCCGGAGGAGACAGGGTGGGGGAGGGCCCAGAATGATGGAGCCAAATATAGACACATGGGTCCTGCTGGGGTCACAAGGAGGCCAGGGGCTGCTCCCTCTGCAGCCAGCCTCTGCCAGCTCCACAGGGCCCTTATGGGGTGGGGRTTGGTGACGTGTGCAGGAGAACAGATGTGGGGGAGGCAGGTGTGTGTGAGACGGGTGTTTGAGGGAGGTTCAGGTGTAAGCAGTTCAGTCAAAACAGGCATTGAGGGCATAAAAGGCGCTCCATCTGGGACCACTTACAAATGACAAGGACCTGGAGGGAGAGCAGGGGCTGGCCTAGGTGATGGGATTTTCCCAAGAGGGAAGCCGCTCAGCTGGGAGCCCCTGAAGTGGGAGACAGCCAGGTGGGGCCTGGAAGCTGCGGGACTGGGAAGGGGACTGGGAAGGGTAGGTCCAGTGGCTGCCCTGACCCTCTGCTGCCCGCAGCTGAGAAAGTGAGCTCTCTGGGCAAGGATTGGCACAAGTTCTGCCTCAAGTGTGAGCGCTGCAACAAGACGCTGACCCCGGGGGGCCATGCTGAGGTAAGGTCAGCCCTGGGGAGGCGGGCAGGGCCACAGCTCCCCGCCCTAACCCAGCCTCTCTGCCTAGCATGACGGGAAGCCCTTCTGCCACAAACCCTGCTACGCCACACTGTTTGGACCCAAAGGTGAGTGCTGTGCTGGCCGACTGCCACGGGCTTGCCCCCTGGGGTTCCGGGTGGCCTGGAGGCCACAGAGCCCTGGGAGGGCTGTCTTCTGAGAAGCTTCAGGTGCCATGGGAGGGTGGGCCATGGGCACTGGCCACCCGGCTGATGTGCCTGCCACCCGCAGGCGTGAATATTGGGGGTGCTGGCTCCTACATCTATGAGAAGCCCCTGGCTGAGGGCCCTCAGGTCACCGGCCCCATCGAGGTGCCAGTGGTCCGAGCTGAGGAGCGGAAGGCCAGCGGTCCCACTAAGGGGCCCAGCAGAGGTGGGTTGGGCACCGCCAGGGGGCAGACGTGGGTGGGTGTAGGTGGCAGCGGCCCCCCTGACCCAGCTCCACACCCCCAGCCTCCAGCGTGACCACGTTCACTGGGGAGCCCAACATGTGTCCTCGCTGCAACAAAAGGGTCTACTTTGGTGAGTGATGGTGCCCGGCCCCAGCCTTGGGGAGCTTGTGCCCTGCRCTGTGCTGGACTTCATGCTTCTCCTCCCTCCTAGCCGAGAAGGTGACATCTCTGGGCAAGGACTGGCACCGGCCCTGTCTGCGCTGCGAGCGCTGCTCAAAGACGCTGACCCCAGGCGGGCATGCGGAGGTGAGGCACTGGAATTGGGGCACATGAGGAGAGGGAGGGCTGTGTGAGGACTCAGGGGCCCAAGCCCTTGGGCAGGGGCGTGTCATTGGGACGCCAGAGCCCCAGGGGCTGGACAGGAGCACATGGCTGGGGACTACCTTGGCCCACATGTGGGAGACTTGGCCATGGCTGCAGCTGCTGGGAGAGGCCCTAGGGGAGCCCGCAGGCTGAGGGCTGCCCCCTGGTGGCCAGGCAGAGACTCGCCCTGCACATGCTGGGTGAGGAGTGCTGGTGGTCACCCCCCCTACCCCCTGACTGCCAAAGAGAGTGGGCCTGGACATGGCCTTGTGAGCCTGAGGGCTCTTGGGGGGAGGCCGCAGGTGACAGTGGTCTCTGTCCCTGGGGAGGGGAGGGTTATGCCAGCACGCTCCTCATCCTGCCCACAGCATGACGGCCAGCCTTACTGCCACAAGCCCTGCTATGGCATACTGTTTGGACCCAAGGGTGAGTGTGGCCAGGTGTGGGTTGTGGGTGCCCCTCCTCTGCCCCAGGCCCCTGCTCCTTCCTTCCTTGACCACCTGGGCCTTCTTTCTCCACAGGAGTGAACACCGGGGCTGTGGGCAGCTACATCTATGACAGGGACCCGGAAGGCACGGTTCAGCCCTAGGCCACAGCCCCTCAGAGGGGCAGGGCCTTTCTGCCTTCTGCTGGACCCTGCCCCAGGCCCCCTCCTTGGCTCTGTGGGGGACAGTGGTCTGCTGCCAGTCCTGCCTCAGTGCATCCTGCCGCCAGCCCCAGGCCTGAGTGTTGGAGCGGAGCCTGAGTGGTGGTTCCCAGAGCAGCGCCCATGTCCAGCCCTGTTCTTGGTGTGTCAGACCCTCATGGTGCCTCGTGTGTTACTCACTGCCCCCTCCATTGCTGAGTGTGTCCCCATGCCCAGCATTCTCTGTGTGTCTGTCCCTATGTGTCCCCAAGTCCCTGGTGCTCTCTGAGGAAGCTGTGTTGCTCCCTACTTACTGCCCATTCCTGCCCACCAGTATTATTTATGCTCCAGCTTGCCGGTGATGGCCACAAGCTCACGGTGTCCTTAGGGCAGGGCAGAGCCCTGCCAGGAACCCTCTGCCTGGCTCCCACACTGCCCGCTCACCCACTTCTCTCATGGCTCTCACTTAGCTGCTAAGACTTTTGCTGTCAATAAAAGGTTTGAGGATCATAGAACCCAGTGCCATGGATGTGTATCCAGGACAAAGTCCCTTTGTCCTGCCCAAGATGCTTCCAACCAGTGCCCCTGGGCCTAGCTTCTAGTGGGGTTGAGATGTTTCTGAAGCAGAGCCTGGTTTTGGGCAGTGGTAGCATCACTGAGATGGGGTGGGCAGCAGGAGGCACACCTGTGCAGAGGTGAGAGGGGATGGGCGGGGTCCAACAGGATGTGGCCCTGGGTCATGATGAGATCTTGCAGGGGAGCCTGGTTTCTGGAAACAGCTGCAGCCATCAGAACCAGGTGGTGTAGGAGGGGTGGGTCTTGAGAACAGGCAGAGGAGGGAAGGGGAATTGGTGACCAGAGGAGTCCTGGGCAGAGAATGGGGAGCTGGTGAGGGGTGTGTAGGTGCCAAGGTGGACAGGCAGCCTGGGTGGGCTGGGAGGTCAGCAGTCAGGCCAGGCTCCGCCATGGCTGTTTTTCTCTGCTGCAGTCTGCAGGATGAACCCTTCATGAACTTAGCCTGCTTCAGGTGTGCAGGGTGACTCAGGGACAGAATGAGGGTGGTCATTTCTAGGTGAGGGTCTGCGGGTTCAATCCCTGCCTAAGTGGATTGGCAATAATACCAGAGTTCTGGCCTCCCCACGGGTTCAGACTACCCTGCTCACAGCGCTCCCTCCGCCTACTACCCTCAGCGCCCACCAGAGGGCACCCCTGCCCTTGGGCTCCGCGCTCTGGGTGTCGCAGGACTCGCAGCCAGACCCGCCCGTCGGGCTGCTGCTCCTGCTTTGCACCCCACCCAGGATACCTGGCCCATCTGAAGCTACCGGGCGTGGTCACCTCGGGGACATCCAAGGCCTGTTCTGGGTCCCCAGCTCGCCGTCCAGGCCATCGGCCAGGGGGTGGCTGAACCCGGATGCYGCAGGCATTGTCTTACAAGCAGCTTCCGCGGCTGGCTCTGGGGTCTGGCAGTGTCTCCCCTGCCCCCGTCTGGGTTGCTGCCAGGATGTGCGTCTAGCGGCCCATAGTGGCGGCCGCTTCCCATCCCAAGCGGACGCAGGTCCGGCAGCGCGCGGGACTCCGGCTCAGAGGCGCAGCTGAGACCCCCAGCCCCGCCTTGTTGCCCCTCCTGCCAGGACAAGTTCTCGCGGACAGGGGTGCGTGGGGACGCAGGCTGGGGATGGAGGTGCTGCCGAGCGCGCAGCGGGCCCCGCAGCCTCCGCCGAAACTATCTTCAGCGGTCAGTGGCATATTAGGGCAAGGAGACCCCCACCCTGGACTTGGGGTGATTGAGGACCAGGGGTCATTCCAAGTAGATCAGCTCCTGGCTCTACGGGCCGGACTGCTCCCCGTCTCAGGCTCAGCAGGGCAGGACTTGCCGGTTTCCTGCCKGGGAAGACGCTGCAGTGTTTGTTTCCAAGGGGTTGTCATGGAAACTGGGCGGCACAGCTACTGTTTGTCTGAGCCTTGTTGCTGGGCGGTGTCCGATGCACCATCAAGACACCTCTTTGGTGGCACTAGCTCCAGACGCCCCCAAGATGGACGGGAGGGGGGAATGGGTGTCTTTGTCCCTGGGAGCACGGCCCTCTCCCCCACCCACTGAGAGGCTAGGTTTGCGTGCACCCTCCCTCACACTCAAGCAGTGAGGCTGCTCAAAAATGCCATGTGACCACCTCACTCCCAGTTCAGGACCCCTGGAACCTCATACCCAGGCCACTCTGCTCAACTAGCTGAGCCTGGAGAGCTGGGCTGCGCATGCCCCCCCCCCATGCTTCCCAGTTGCACCCTGCGCCATTTAGTGGCTGACTTCCCTGCCAGGTGTCCGTCCCAACCCCCTCCCCACCTCTCCCCTGCCTCTGACTCAAGCTGCTCCCATATCTGCATCTCAGCGAGGCAGCTCAGCCTGAGGCTCCCTGTGTCCCCACTTCCTGAGTTCCAAACTCCCAGCACCCACCCTCCAGGCTCATCTCAGCGTCCTCTGGGCCAGTGACCCTGGCATCAGCCCTGGCACCCTTCTCCCCAGAGACTTCCCCAGCTCTTGGCTCCTTGACCCTATCCAGTTCAGGTAGCTTCCTCTGGCCTCTATAGGAATTGGGGTAACATGACTCCTTCCTGCCCTTGAGTCTGGCTCACTGGCTTCTGGCTGCAGCCTGGGAGGCTGGATATCAAGAAAATAGCATGTTCCAGAGCCCTGGGCTCTGTGCTGTTGGGTGAGCACAGGCAAGGGCTGGCTAGGAACCAAAGTGGCCAGGTGTGGGCAGCCCTTTTCCCCAGGGCCTGACTGGTTTTGGGTTTGGCTCAGGGCCATAAACAGGGCCTCAGCTGCTGGGCTGTAAGTCTGGAATTTGAGGTGGTTCTGCTTGGGCTTTGGTTCTAGGAAGCCAACTGGGCATCAAGCCCAGCCACAGGAAGGGGAGGGCAGGACACCCCATCTGGCCAGACTCTGAGCCCTAGGCAGAGGGTGCAGCCCCACTAGCAGAGGCCGTACCCTTTGCATCACCCCAACAGCTATGTCGCTTTCAGGAGAGGAAAAAAACTGTCTACCTAGGCCCAAGGTATGATACCTGCAGGGCAGAGAGACCTGTCTGGGAATCACAATGTCCAGTCCCTCCTCACGCTCACTCCAGTATGTGTCCCAGCAGGTCAACCCTGGGGCCAGACCTCAGGCCTGACAGCCTTCCCAGGAGACAAACTACTGAAAATAGGCCCTGGGAACTTGCGAATGTCCTGGACTGGGCCTGGAGGAGGGGCAGGGCGGGTGGACCCTGGGGCGGCCTGAGCCTGGTCTGTCCCCAGGCTCAGCATACTTTCCAGCGGCAAGTGCTGGCAGAGCAGGTATCTGGGTGCAAAGAACACAGGGCAGGCCCAGCTGCCTTGGGGGACATCTTCACTGTCCACACCCTGAGCTGGGCACAAGGCTAGGTGCTRGGTGAGGGCTTCAGGGATGTGAAGGTGGCTGCTGGAGGCAAAGGCAAACAGCACACTCTGCCAAGGAACGGCCACCAGGGGCCCTTACCCAGARGCTGAACTTTCCCGATGGGGGTGGATGACAGGATTCCTCAGCGGTCACTGGGCCCCAGGGGGCCCAGCCCTGYCTTCTCTGGCCGGCCAGCTGAGGGCGCAGGGGCGTGTGCAGAGAGAAGGCTGGGCAGTTGAGGAGGAATCTGCCCCCACCCCTCCAGGTCTTAGTGCCCTCGTGCTGTGCTGGTACAGGGCAGAATGTTCTGGCACAGAGGCACCCAGGGCAACAGCTAGGGGTGCTCAGTGTCCTGTCCTGCCCACCACACTGCCTTCCATTGATGCGACGCGTTCCAGTAGCACCTGGCAGGGGGTGGAGCTGCCAGGGCCTTCACCTGGACCAGTGGTCCTGAGTCAGGTCGACCCCTTGGATCTGGTCATGGCCCTCCTCCACAGGCAGCCTAGGTCAGAAGGGGCCAGGTGAACTGAAGCAAGAGGCCTTACACCTAGGTGGGGGCTGCAGCCTCAGGGAGGCTGCAGGGCCCCCGCTGGGCATGGGCATGGGGACTGGTGGCCTGCAACTGATGAGGGGTCCCCACATCCACAGGTAGGGTGGGTGGGGGCACATCAGCCTGTGGCTGAAGTTTTGGGAGAGTTCCAGGGAGAGGGTGTTGGTGTGTGTGTGCGCGCACGTGTGTGTCTTTGTATGTGCATGTTTATGTGTGTGTCTAAGCGTGCGCATCTGGAAAAACTGCTGCGTGTCCAACTCAGAGGGTGCCGCCCCAGGGCTCCCCCGCCTGGCATTCTCCTCCCCACCCAGTGGACATGGCAACGGGAAATAACAGCAGGGAAGGCCAGGAAGGACTCAGGATCTGGTTTCAGCGGTGGGGGCACCCTGGGCAGGGCAGGGTTGGAGTCCRGTATGGGAAAAAGAGCCATCCCTAGGGCGGGGCAGTGGACGGGGGACAAGGACCAGGTCATTTCTGCCACCTGCCCCAGAAAATGTCCCTCTGAGAGGAGCTGTGAAGCACCTTCCCAGGAGCCCCAGGGTAGGTTTGGGGTGGAGGCCGGACAGAAATTTGTGTGTAGCCATGTAATCTGAGAGACCCTACGCACAACACCAGACACACCTGATGGACGCAGCCCCACACAGGTATATCTGTAGGGGCCAGGACACGCGCGTGCACGTGTGTGTGTGTGTGTTGTACAGGCATCCAGTCCCTCCAGCTGCTGCAGTGCCTTATCCCGGTGCGGAGGCGGAGGTGGAGGAACTGTGCCAGGRGGCCGTGGCCTCCACCCACACACGTCCACGATTGGCAGTGGCTGGTCTTCTTTATAAACAGAAACAAAGTGGGTGTGTCCCGGGTGTGGTCAGGTTCCAAGGGCCTACAGTAGTAAGATCCCCCTGCCCAAGACTGTCCTGGCCCTCCGGGGCCTCCCTCCAGTGGCCAGGGGCCCTGCTTGATCCTCCTCTTTCTGTCCTGTGTTCCTGTTGACCTTCCTGGCCCTTGCGGTCTTATCTCTGCTGTGCTGAGGACTGAGGTCAGGGGATAAAGGAAGTCAGGATTTGCCCTCTTAGGGCTGGGGACATAGCTGAGTTGKTAGAGCTCTTGCCCCGCATGCACAAGGCCCTGGGTTCAATCCCCAGCATCATGGAAAAACAAAAAGAAAAAGGATTTGGCCTCTTGTTATCAGACTAGCTAAGGAGACTCTAAGGGGTGTGTTGGAGGTGGAGGATGGTTGTGTTGGTGGCCTTAAGTCCAGGAACCACACAGTGGCTGGAGACTGGGGTCCTACCCCTTGCATATCCGTGTGCACCTCTGCTCTGGAAATCCCAGCTGACAAGGGTCTTTAGTATGTCCTTGAGGACTGCAGCACTCGCAGTACCTCAGCCCTGGGCAGTGACCTGAGGGGTCCCAGGGAGGGTGGTGGGAACTGGTAAGTATTGTCAGGGGGAGGACTTGGCTTTGGGTTGTAGATATGGGGGAACTCCCCAGAGTGTGGCCTCTGCAAGGGACACATGGGGCCTTGGTCATCCCACAATCCTGGGAACTTTGACCCTCACTCCAGCTATGGCCCAGTGAGGAGCAGGGAGGGGGCATCCTGGGATGTTGGACCCATGGCCCTTCCTTTGAGTACTCTGGGGCAAGACCAGGGGCCTGGGGCATCAGGGAGCCTGTCCTCCTGCTCTGCTTCAGGGACAGGGCCTGAAGAGGCCCAGAGTGATGCCTGGTGTTTTGAGATGGGTGTACTGAGTGGAAGTGGGTGCTGATAAGGGGGTTAAAGGGCAGGCAGTGCAGGGAGAGGAAGGGCCCATATGTGTGCCAGGGCCTGGATGGAGAGAAGGCTGAATACTTCCTGTGGGGGCCCCCAGAGCAGAAAGGACTTCTATGGAGAGGGTAGCCCTCTGCTCCAGGGGTAGGTGGGCCTGGCTGACAGTGACCCCAGCACAGGAGGGTTAGATAGAGGGATGGGCCAGGGCATCCCCACTGAGGCTGAGGCCTGGACTAAGGGAGGCTGGAAGCCCCAGCAGTCCCACCCTGGTGARGCTGCAGATGCAACTCATACCCCAGGTATCTGTAGGCCAGCACCAGCCCTCCTGATTCTCAACAGGCTGGGTCAGATGGTCTCTGGTTTCTGGCTGGCCCCCAATGTAGGCTGGAGACTTGGACCACTCTTGGTGCTAGGACACTTTCTGTAAAGATAAGGACCTTGGCCCCTGTCTCAGGTTCCCCCAGGCAATGGTTCCCGGGGCCTGGGCTCCTCTATCCTTGTGGAGGAGGGACTGCCATGGCCTGAAGTCCCCTCTTCCAAGTTCCCCAGGGACGTTCCGGCTGTGGTTCAGTGGACTTCCCAGAGAGCAGCAGGGTGGGGGTGAGCTGGCACAGCTCAAGTGCCCCACCCACTCCCAGGGTCTGGAGGGAGGAGGCTCCTGGCCTCTTTGTGAGTGGGAGATCAGAGCAGGATTCCTGGAGAGGTACCAGACTGAGACTATGGGAATGTGTCCCCAACCTTCTTTCTAGAAGAGGGGCAGGGTCAAAGTACGGGAGGACAATCCTTTCATGCTAGTTTGCATCYGTCTGTATTTTAGAAGTGACTCCTTCCTTCCCTGGCTCCGGCTGATCTGGGGCTTTGGCGGGTGCCTGCGAGTTGCCACTAGGGACCTGGTAAACCTTCCTGCAGAGAGCCCCTTGCCCCAGATCTGGGACTGTGGGCTGCTTGGCCTGGGGTGTGGACCTGCTGGAGCAGCCTGGTTCCCAGAAGGTCCCCATGTCTCCGCTGGACCCTCGGCCACTGAGCTCTGCCCAGAGGCGGGCGTGGACCAGATGATCTTTCTAGGCGGGTCGGTCTGGATGCGAGGTCTCTAGGGTACAAGTCTCTGCCTCGGGGCGGGACTCGCAGGGCGGGGTCCTAAGAGGCGGGGCCCCAGGGTCCCTGAAAAGCTTACACCAAGCGGGCGTCACCCAGTCTCGCGCCCACAACCCGCTCTCGCCCAGCATTAGAAGCTCGTTCCGTACCCAGTATCGCCATGCCCAAGTGCCCCAAGTGTGACAAGGAGGTGTACTTCGGTGAGTGAATCCTGTACCCGGGCCTCCTCATGCGCGCACTGCCGGCCAGATGCGGAAGAGCGGCCGACCCTCCGGGGCGGGGGACGTACTGGCCATCCTGGCGACTTGGCGGGGGCCGCCCAGGTAGGCGCAGGGCCTCTGGAGTCCTGAGGGCCTCCTCGGAGCCAACCTGTCCGCCTGGCTCACGGTCGTCCGGGTGTGAGTTGGGACCCCCTGCGTTGGGCGGCCGGCTATCTCTTCCCATTCACGGTTTCTGTCTCCCTGCMTCTGTGTCTCCCCATCTGGTGACCCCTGTCTTCGTGACTCCTGGTCTCGATGTTTCTACACTTTCCATCCACGCGCTTTGGGCGGGGTCCCCGAGGGATAGGAAGGAACGCGGGGCTGGGGCCTCCCCTGCCAGCGCTAAGTAGAAACAGACGCGGAAACCGACGCCCCGGGCGCGATCCCGGAACGCTCAGATGCGAGCGCCCGCCTTCCGGCCCCGCGCGCGCCCCGGGGAGGGGCAGGAGGGAGTGGGAGGTCCTCCGCCCCAGGAGAAAGGCGCCCGCAGGCTCCACCCAGTCCCCCGGAGCCCGGGGCCAGAGGGCTAGGCCAGGCCAGCCTGACCCCAGGCTTCCAGTCCGCCTACTCCACCCCAGCCCTCGGGGCGCGTCCCAGGCACAGCACCTGGAAGTGGCACGAGGGCCAGACTCCTCTGATTAGTTTGGCTGGGGACTAGAGGTGTGTCCCTAATATGTACAGGGGCAAGAAGAGACGGGGTGGGGGATGCTGCCAAGTTGAGAGAACGCAGTATGGGTGGACTGGAGGAGGGGTGTGAGTGGCGGTGTGCCAGGGCCTGAGAGTGGTGTCTCATGGGGACTTCCCTGCAGCGGAGCGGGTGACCTCGCTGGGCAAGGACTGGCATAGGCCCTGCCTTAAGTGTGAGAAATGCGGGAAGACGCTGACCTCCGGGGGCCACGCAGAGGTAGGTGGGCTGCGGGCCACTGGAAGGGGGAGTCATGCTGGGGCGAAGGCAAGCTACTCACGGCCTTTTCTCTGCAGCATGAAGGCAAGCCCTACTGCAACCACCCCTGCTACTCCGCCATGTTTGGGCCCAAAGGTACATTCTGGTAGTCTGCCAACCGCCCCCTCCCCCTCCCCCCCTCCATACTGTGTTGACCTTCCACATCTTTTTGCAGGTTTTGGCCGTGGTGGAGCCGAAAGTCACACTTTCAAGTAAACCCAGGTATAATCCTCCCTCCAGTCCCACCCAGCCCATCCTTCTCAGGATTCGGATGTCCCCCCAGGTCTGATACTCAGGGGCCTGGAGGCAGGGCTGAGAGGTGTACTCAAGAATGCCTGTCTCTCTGCACAGGTTGAGGAGACCCTATCCTTGGGCACCCACCGGGCCATTGCCCATTCAGCAGATGCCTGGCCTTAYCCCAGACACCCAGGGCTCCTAATAGCCCCTTGTGCCTTCAATAAACYTGAACACGTGGAAGACATGTGTGTGTGTGTTCACTAGTACTTGGGCACACGTGTGTGCAGGTGGATAGTGCAAAGAAATGACATCTGGGAACTCCCAGCCCAGGGTGCTTGCTCTGCCTGCTGCAGAAGGCACTGTTGCCCACTCCCCTGAGGAGGTCTCTGAGGAGGTCTCTTTGCAGGGCATGAGTCCAGGCCTCCACCTCTGACCTCCAGACCCACAAAGGCCCTCCTCTTCGGTTCTGGAATGGGCTGGGCCAAAGGGTCAGAGGGAATTTGAGGCCTGGGAGTGGGTGGTGTTGGGAGGACTCTGGCCACAGGTCAGAGAGTGATTCAGCTGGAGCTGCTTCCCTTTTTGAGAAGCTTTGGGGGAGCTGTGCTGTGGATTCCTTGCCTTCCCACTTCCTGCTGCTCCACCCTTGTCCCCATCTACCCCAGATCAAGCTGTGGGTTTTTTTGCAGGGGCTTGCTATAGCTGCACAGCTAGCCATCCAGACACCGGACCCATGTTTGGGCCTCCCTGAGCAGGGACTCCCCATAGTGGCCTGTGCTGTCATGGTATGTCCTGGCTTTGCACAGTGGAGGGGGCCCTTTAGGAAACTCCTTTGTCAACCTAGCTCCTGCCCACTGGGCTACCGTCAGAACCCCACTGTCCCCTGGCAGCTCAGTCCCAGCTCTGGCCAAAGGTCTCCCAAACCCCTTTAGACCATCTGCAGACGGGAAGAGCCCAGGTCAGACTAGTGAACTGTAGGCATAAGTTGGCAAAGAAGGGGTGGGGAGCTGTCGAGGGTGGTCTGTAGAGCGGAAAGCTCGCGTCATAGGGCGATCCTGGAGGGTGGCAGAGGGGGTGGGGCAGCCAGGCGGGAGCCTAGGATGCTGACCTCCAGAGGCTCCCTATCCAGGTGGGGGGTGGGGGCTGAGGGCTGTGGCCCAGCGATACCTGGCGATACCTGGCGATACCTGGCGGCCAGGGTAGGGACAGCAGCTCCCCAACCCGAGGTCCTAGCCTCCTCGATGGTGCGTTGTCGCAGTGACTCCATTCCCCACATAGCTCACAGCCCCATTTGGGGCGACTTGGGGTGCACTGTCAGCGAGCAGAGAGTGGGAATCAGCTAAGCCCCAAATGGGGTTAAGAGCACCCCAGGCAGAAGGTCAGCAGTGCAAAGTCCCTAAGAAAAGATCCGTTGTCGTCCATCAGAAATCAAGCCGCGCAGGGTGGGGCTGGGGGAACAGTCTTCGCACCCAAAGCTCAGGGGGCGCTGAGAAAGGGATGGAGGGCAGGATTGCCTGGGACCTGGAGCCGAGAACAAGCCAGCAGCGTACCCCATACTGGGGGAGGAACTCCCGGCCAGGGACCTCAGAGCCGAGTCTGTTGGCCGCGACTACTGGCACAACGTTGCCACCGCCGTTCAGTTGAGGCCAAGGAAGCAGGACGTTCCGAGCCGGCGCGCCGCGCTCCCGCTTCCAGTGGGCGTGGCCAAGCGGACAGGTGCGTGGGGTGCTTCGTACTTCCCTCTCTAGCTGGGTCTCCTCCGCCTTCTCTCGGGCGCCCTCCCCCTCTCCACCTGCCTTCTTTCCGGCTTTATTGTGTAGTGTGCGCACGGTCCAGTCCACCGCCCCAGCCACACCTTCAGTGACGTGGAGCGCACGGAGTTCGTGCCAGAGTGTCCCAGCCACTGCCGATTCCCTCCTGCCATTCTCCCCCTGCCCGCTGGCCAGCCCTTTCCGGGCAGCCAGGGCCCTGCGAGTTTACCTCCTCCTGGCACTCCACACGGTCCGGCCTACCTGATGCGGGCTTTTGCAGGGGCTTCCTGCATTCAGAAGAACKCGAGGATTTCACCCAGGCTGCCCGCGGCTGGACAGGATTCCTAATTATGCGAGTGCTGTGGTTCTTTCCCACACACCAGGGTGAACTCTGGGTCCGTTTGCCATGTGATAGGGCTGTTGTGACCTCCCGCGTGTCCTTGCGAAGATGGCTCACAGCCTACCAGGACTGATACTGTTGGGTCGTGTGGGAAACTTCCGCTTCTGAAGGAAATGGCCACACTGCTTCCCAAAGAAGGTGGGGACAGTGAGGCCTATGTTTGGGCAGGGTAGCTAAGGGCAGAGAGCTGGGGCTAGGGACGGGCGAGGGGCCGGAGTCTGCAGATAAAAGAGTTGACGGCCTTCCCTTCTGGAGCTTCCTTTGCCCAGCTCGTCGGGCGAGGTTACTCACCGAGTCCCCACCCARCTGCCCGGGGTTATCTGCCGGGTTGTCTGCCCGGGCGGCGGCTTATGAGGCTCTGGCGCCCCCTGGCGTCGAGCCGGGGAGGCTCCGCGGAGGGGCGCCGGCCGCGGCCGGAGTCTGGTTGCACAGTCCTCCGGGGCTCTAGGGGGCGCGCATGTTTTTCATTCAGTGCTGATGACGCCGGGTTGCTAGGTAGTCAATGGCTCGGGGCGCTGATTGGTTGGTTCTGGACGAGGCGGGTGTAGGGCGAAGGTTGGGCGAACGAGTTCAGAAGCCTCGGTGCTGCTGACCTCGAAGGCTCCACCCCAGGAGCGCGGAAGTGTCTTCGCGCCTGACGAATAGACGCAGGGCCAGCGCTCATTGGGTTACGGCGCAAAAGCGGGTCCTGGCCGGCGCGGTGATTGGGCGCCATCTGCCGGGGCGGGCGATCCAAGGAGGCCTGGAGCAGGCTGCATGGGGAGGCGGCGGCGCAGGGTGGACCGGGCGGCCGGAGTCGGGRCCGGGACCCTGCCCGAGGCGATTGCCGCGCTCAGTAGACTGCTGCCCGCTGGGCCCAGCCCGGAGATCTTCCGCCGTGCCAAGTTCGACCGTCCGGAGGCGGTGAGGCCKGCGGCGCGGGCGTCGGGCCAGGAGTTGCCGGATGCAAGGTCAGCCTGGCCCGCTGACCGCGCGCTTTTTGTTCTCTGTAGGCCCCCGCGCTCTGGCGGCTCCTCTTCCACGTACTCGCGCCGCTCCCAGAACGTGGTGCCTCGGCCTCGCTCACTCCGGGTAAGTCCTGTCCTCTGGAATGCCCCGCCCCAAAGGTCTCGACTCAGCCCACCCTGGCGACACTAGCCTGGCGCTGACCCCGCCCACCCGGTGGCACTGGCTCCGCCCAGCTTGGTAAGGCTCCGTCCCAGAGGCTTTGGCTTTGTCCAACTCTAAGGCTCCCACCTCCAAAGGCTCTGGGACCACGCACCCAGAGAGGCACTGGCCCTGCTCAATTCTAAGGCTCCACCCCTGGAGGCTCTGGCCCCTCCCACTCAACCGAAGTCCTGGTTCTGGTTAGACTCTGGTTCAACCAACACCTAACCCCTTCCTTCCAGGTTAGGGTATGGTGCCCTCATCTTAGTTGGAGGACCCAACCCCTACCCCGCGTTGGGTCCTTGTCCTTGTTCCTGTCTCCTCTATTTGGGGGTCCTGAAGGGGTACAGATGATATCCACTTTAGGTAGGCTTCTCCCTGAGCTGGTGGTCTTTTACTCCAGAGGCCCAAGCCCGCCTGGTGAAGGCAGTGCTGTGCTCCCAGGGCTACCCGAGGCCTGTGCTGGCACAGCTTCCGGAGGATGGCTCCCAGGGCAGCCGGGAGCTGCTGCTGGCCCTGTCCTGGCTCCTGGCCCGAGAGCCTCTGATTGAGCGGCTACTGGTGCAGACTCGCGTCCAACTGGGCGACCAGGTGCCTGATTTTGAGGTGGGTGTGTAATAAGGGTGATTGGGCCCAGCTCTGCCCAGATGCCAGGGTGTCTCATGTCCCATGACCTGTGGGCCATCCCATGTCAGACTTGAGGGCAGCCCTTGCTGGGGCTGTCCTGGCTGTCTAGCTGAGAGTGTGCAGGCAGCTAGGTCTGTGGCTGTACCTCCACTGCTCTTACTGTCCTTGCCCCTTCTTCAGGTAGGGTAGAAAGTGAAATAGGGGCTAACCCTTATTACCTCTCCAGAGTGGGGCCCTGGCCAGCTCTGGCCCACCTGTATTACACATGGGAGCAGAAGTCCCCGTGGACCTCCGCTGTGTGCAGTGGCTGATGGGAAAGCTGCGGTTCCGGTGGCGGAACCTGATCTCCAGTCAGCAGGAGCAGTGCACCCTCCTGGGCAAGGTAKTGTTTCACACAGCTCTCCACCAGGGACCAGAGACCCTGGCTACCTTTCCCTATGGCCCATCCCACCAAGCCTGGCAGGGGCTGACCCCAGGCTGCTTGTGGGCCTTCCCTGACCTGGCTGGGGCTGGTGGGGGTTGGGACTGTGATCCAGCTAGGGGACCAGATTTCGATGGAACTGGGCAGTATTGGGAGCCATGGTCAGGGTTCTCAATCCTGCTGGGAGAGAGTCTGCTGGATCAGAGAGCCACGGAGTCAGCTCTACTGTTGCCAGAAATTGTCGCCTTTAGACTCTGCCAAGAGAAACTGTTCCTCCTGGGCACTTCCAGCCCTCTGTTTCCCACCATATTCTGGATGTGGGCTGATCTGGGCAGTGGGCAGCTCCTGTAGGGGCCTTTGAAGGAGCCGTAGAGGTTAGGTTCAAGCGCTCTGGTGCCCAGCACATGACCATTGTGAAGTGAGGGCTGATGGGTTGCTGGGTGGTAGCCATGGGCTCCGTGGTGCTGAGACCCCTTCTGTGGTCTTCTTAGCTGGTCTTTCCTGGGACCTGCTCCTGTTACCTGGCCTTGGCTCCAGCARCTGCACCAGGTTAGGGGCCCACCTTTCTGGGGCAGGTTTGTAGCTTCCAGAGCCTAGGGCTTGATAGCAGGGCAGGGGGCACCATCCCACTGTATTGGACCCCTGGGGAGGCCCTGAGTAAGATTGCCTGGTGTCCCTCCCTCTGTAAGGGAGGCCGTCTTGCATGGGAGTTGAACTCTGAAGGTGACCATGCTGCTCCAGTGGAGGCCCCGTGCTGGAGAGGGTGCGCCTCCACAGCCTGGGGTCTGCCTTCTGTTCCAGATCCACTTGTATACCCACGGCTGCCACAGTGACCAGAACCTCAGCCATCTGTCTGTCACGGAAACTGAGATGCTCAGGGACCCGGAGGGTGGCCAGCAGGT